GAGGCCAATGGTGACGCCGCTGCAGAAAGCGCTGAAGTAGAAGTCGAGGGTGGTGAGGAGAGGGAGATAGAGGGAGAGGAAGCCCAAGCCGCAATTGAGGCTAACAAGGGCCGCTTCATCGTCTTTGTCGGTATGTCTTGTGTATGATCCACCTATCACGATCTGTCTAACGCGAGCTACCAGGCAACCTTCCCTACAGCGCTACGAAAGAGCAGATTGAGAAGCATTTCGAAAAGATCAAGCCCACCGAAGTCCGTCTCCGTACATACAAGGGCACAGAGAAGTTCATGGGCACGTGCTTCATCGAATTCGACCGCTACGACCGTATGGTGACGTGCTTGAAGAAGTACCACCACTCAGTCTTCCCAGACCCCAAGAAGAAGGAGGGCAGGAAGATCAACGTCGAGCTGAGGTAAGATTCCATTCGTGCATTCATTTCCCGCCACTATCACAATTCCGAAAGACCACCATACGAGAGATGAAGACACATACTAACTCCATATTACAGCGCAGGAGGTGGCGGCAACAGCGAAGCCCGCAAAACCAAGATTGCAGCGAAGAACGAGAAACTGCATGACGAGCGTGCCCGCGACCGTGTTAAGAAGACTGAAGTCGAAATGAAGCAGAGCGAGCGCAAGCAGAAGAAGGAAGCCAAGTCAGGCAAGAAGGGTGGTGACGATGCAGAGGCCGCTGAGCCGGAGCAACCCGACGAGGCTGCCACCTTTGGCATGAACCCTGCGCGTTTGGCTATGATGCAGGGGCCTGAGCGACCCCAGCACAGGTCAAGATATTAAGGGATGGTTTGGTAGGAACGTATGAGTCTAGGGGTTCATGTTTGAGTTGATTTGCTTAGAAATCTGTTTGTTGGCTATATGAGTGGACTTGTACACGATTTGGGTTCGCGGCTTGGCCTCGTCTCATGATACCATAGTTTTAGACTCTTGAAAAACGTCGAACTTATAATACTACAAGATACACACAGCTGCAAACAGGGAAACAAGGTGTTTGAGAGGCACGCACGCATTGCGATCAAAATACAGTGTGACTCTACAACGTTGTGCCTATATTCTAGCACTAGCACATTTATCGGATCATCAATGCTGCAAGGTGGTTTTGTGCAACCGCTTTTAGTTCAAATCATAAATTTTTAATCATGCAGCTCTATTGCTGGGTAAAATGGTAGTCTAAAGGAGTGACAAAGAATTGAAAGGTGACGTGGTTCCACCTCTATTAACAACGTTGCAATCATGAGGAACGATACATGTCTGAACTTTTGTGTGGCCATCGATCCCGTGGGCCTCAGTACTAGCTTCCGCCATACTGTAGTTTTCGAACTTAGTAACCACCGCCGTAGCCCTCCTTAGTGGTGCAGACTGTGGTTGTGCCAGTGGAGATGTAGGTGGTTGGCTTCTTCGCAGTTTCCGTAATGACGGCCGTGGCGGTCTTGGAGGATGTAATGGTCTCCTTAGCAGTGGAGACGCTAGTCTTGTAGGAAGTAGCGGTGGAGCTATGCAAATGTGAGCCAGAAGATTATCTTGGGCGAGGGTAGATAGGCACTTACACAAATGGCACGGTCTCGCACTTGGTAGACGACTTGACTTCGCTTTCCACAACGGTGTTGTAGATGGTTGTCACAGTCGAATAGGTTTTGGTGTCAAAGTGGGTAGTGTAGTCAGTCAAAGTTTTGGTGCTGGCACCAGTAGTGGTGTATGGGCAGGGCTCCGTAGTAGTGTGGAGCTTCTCGGTGACAGTGGTGACAGGAACGACTTCAGTCTTGGTAGACAACCAGGTAGTTTCGTACTCTCCGACACTGGAGGTCGTCCATGCAGCTATGAAGAGTTAATTCAAGACCATACAAAGCGGCGTTGGCATACATACATGCAGTGCAGGTTCCAGTCTCCTTCTCAGGGGGAGGAGCCTCATATCCGGAAGACTTAGCCGGTTGACCATAGCCGGGCAAAGCAGCAACCAGGGAAGCCGAAGCAACGAGGGTGACGAGGTTGTTGAAGAGCATTTTTGGCTAGAGATGAGAGTGATCTGGGCCGTGGGAAAGCGAGTGACGATGTGTATAGATATGAAAGGATGGACTATCGGATAGATCGTTGTAGACGCTGAAGGCTGATGATGATTTCGAAGGGGATCATAGATTCGCTTTATAGTTGAGCCCAGTACATCAAAGCTCGTATCTCCAGTGTATCATCTCGCGTTTCTTGTTGAGCGTTGGGCCAAAGAAGCAATGTCGTTCTCCCGCAGCATCCGGGTGATCGACAACGCGATCCGCAGTGCCTTGTACATCTCACGGTATGGCTTAGAGAGATAGGCACTGCGGAGAATGTACTGCATGAAAACTAAGAAGAGACAGGAATAGGCCAAGCATGCTGATGCGGGCCTAGATCACGTCGTGCCATGGGAGTATACATGCATGCAGTCAGGACTCCACCATGATCTTTTAGCCCCCCGGTTGCGAGGACTACCAGTGCCAACGTACTTGTTATGCATGCGTAAGCCTTGAAAATTTCTCTTAATGCGATAGACATCGAAATGTATCCCAGAGCGTTATGCGGTATGGAATGAATAATGACAAAGAAAAAAGTAGCCTGTTTCAGGGGATCAAACGGCCTATGAGTATTTTTGTGACATAGATGTACAACAGAGTATACAGCAGTATCTTGGGAGATTCCACGAAAGAGTGCGTGGTTGGAGGAACATGCCATACGTCATGCATGTTTGTCTGGTGTGTTTACTCATAGTTCCATGTAAGAATCCCAGGAGCCCGGAACCCGTTGTAGTGGCTGGAGTGGCTGAACGACATGGAACCGTAGGCTGATTCACTCGCTCTTGATTGGAAGCTACCGACTAGTTCGACGGAATATTCCTAGTGATGATCACTGCAGCGCTGCAGTTCAACATCGAGTCGTCTTGTCATCTAGATTCATTGCGGGGAATGATGCGTGGTACGATGCACGTGCGGCTGGAGCAATTCCGAATTCTCGATCGACGTTGTTGTTCGACAGCTAGCAATCTACGCGTCAGGTCGAGTGCGTTGTGCAGATGAGAGCTTGTTTGCAGATGGCAGGGAGATGTTGTGATGCACGACGAGGGTCCAGCCATTGTGGGGTTTCTGAGCGCACGGCCCGAGACCCACCGACCGCGGTTTCCATCACAACTTTTTTGTGATGCCCGCTGGCGAACACATCGCCTCTGCCATTGCCTCACGACCCCACCTCTCTGGCTAATAACTCAACCGTTCCGGGTATCTTCGCCATACTACCTCGATTATACGACGATCGGCAAGCGCAAATTCTAGCTCTTCGTCAGCAGAGACGCGCTCGGGGGTCCGCAACGAATTCGATATGCGACGCTAGTCCTGCAGTCACACGATAGATCGCCCCAGATTACTTGCAGCACGACTGTAGTAGTTGATGTGAACTCTCCATAAGACTCCGATCTCGAGAACGATGAGCCAACCAGCAGCTGCGCCGGCCAAACCGCCTACACGGGCGGCTGAACGCGCGTACGAAGGCACACCCGTCACATCTCCACGATCCCTACGCCAACTTTCGATATACTTCCTCGGGAGCGCCTGCCTACTGGCATCAACTGCAATAACGCGGAAGGCTGTGTGGAGACGGCAGCTTCGTGTTATGCCAAAGTTTTATGAAGCGAACACGAACCCGCATGAATACTTTAGTCCCTTCTCAGATGCCTGTCAGGCTCTGAACCTGGCAACGATGAACTGTGCCAGCGTCGGAATTATGGCACTAGGTGGTGCAATGTGGACCTTTGATATTGCCAACCTGAGAGAAGCTCGGGCAGTTCTACGGAGCCGCTTGAACTACGACCGAATCTACGAATCTGAAGATGATATACCAAATAGCATCAGCGAGATGATAATAGCCTCTGGCCAGATGCGAATAATAGAGGAGGACGAGAAGGATGATTCTAAGAAGAACCAATAACGACTGTAGACGTGTACGAGTACGATTGTAAGAATAGTGTATGCAATAAAAAGGCTGAGGGCACTACCAGCCGCGCATGGTAACACGGCTGCGGTAATCTCTCAATGCCTCATCGGATGAGCATTCGCACCCAAGGCACAGCATCCCGAGCCTAATGAACTACTCCGCCTCATGCCAAGTCAAGATTTTTCTGTACTATCAACGTGTCGTAGATCATATAGGCTGTTGGTGTTAATGCGTCACATGCAAACTGCCGCGCTGGAATGTGGGGGATGAACGCGCTATCCTTCGATCCAGCTATATAGAAGATACTCGATTAATGGCTTAGGAGATGGACGTTCAACAACTCCGAATTGCTTTCGGGTCGGTCCAAAGCTCAATAGGAGGGGTACACAGACATGTCTCACAATATGGGCTGAACGTGACATCGATGAGGGATGTCTCACTTCCAACATTCACTCACTCAGCCATGTCTCGGCTAAAGCGGGTCTTAACGGGCGATTTTCGCCAGACTTTGGAATTTGTGCTACTTGACTGCTGTTTGTTTTGACCTCATATTGGTGCCTAGAGCCATAACCCTGGTACACAATGGTCTACGAATAGCTTTCTTCTAGTACAAAATTGGAACAGCTGCATTGCTGCACACATGCAAGTTCACGTGTTCAAGTAGCTCCGTACTCGATCAACATGGCGAGTGCATACATTTGTGCTCATGTTCACGACTTATGACGTTAGCGCAAAGATAGGAACATTGGCTCAAACAAGGGCTTTTCCGTTGTGATCGTGCACCATAAGCTTACATGGCTTACTCTTTCACTAAGCTCCATCATCCTAGGGCTGAAAACCCATCACCTCAACGCACCACTTTAAGGTTGATTCCTCAGCGCGACTTGTTGTATATCTTTCCGCCCACCCAACAGATGTCGCCCAGCACACCTGGCAGGTAGTATTACCGGATGATCCATGGAAGCTCAGCAATCGGCATATTTCCAGGTTTCAAGAGTGCATTTGGGGATGGCATTCGACTTAACTTTCTCTTCATCATGAAGGCTTTCCATCTTCAACCTTGACACCTTTTTGCCCGTCTCTATTCGCTCTCCAAACACCCTCACCCCCCTCGAACCTCTCGAGCTTCCAGATTTCAGCTTTATCCTTCGTCTCCTCCAATGCTTCCTCACCAGCCCTCCATGCCGCCTGGCGGTGCGGTGACGATACTGCAATGACAATGCTCTCCTCGCCAATTGGACATTCACCCAACTTATGAATGATGGCGATCTTAGTGCATGAATGTTTTGTGAGGATTGATGTGGCGATCTTAAAGAGTGTGTTGATGGCAAGGGGAGCGTAAGAAGTGTAGGCCAAAGATGAAACAGGCTCTTTGTTAAAGGAGTCGCGAGTCGTGCCTATGAACAAGACAGTTGCGCCTGCGGATGGAGAGCGGACAAATTTTGTTGCTGACAAGGAGTCTAGATCGTACGGAGTGAGTTCGACATGGATGGTGTCTGTGGTCTTGGTCACAGGGTCTGACGGTATGTCCGGATTATAAGATTGGGGTTCTGTGGTTGCCATATTGGTGAGAAACCGGCGCTATATGCCTAGGTGTTGTCGGATGATTAGCTTGTACCCTTTCAGAATCTATATAAATACGCTACAATATAGAGCAGGAAGATACAACCCCCACCATTGCAGGTTGACTCCTGCCGCGTCATAGATATCGAGCTGTGTATGGGATTCACTTACTTTTAGCGAACTTGTTATACTAGCACAATCTCAGGATTTTCAGGATGTCGAATTCGAGTGTACTGGTCCCTGCCAAAAACGTGCTGGTGAAATGTCGAAGATGCCGTCATAGCGATAGCAGCGCGGGACATTATCTTAGCGCCGATCAACGACCTGCATCCTCACACGTGGAGCGTTAACTCCGGCCCCGCTCATACCATAGCTCTAGCTCGCGTCGAACGACTGCTTTCACTGCGAGCCAAGTCCGAGATTACTAGCCGTCTTGAACACCTTATTGCCTTGTTGCCTGAGTCCTCTGACTAGACATTCGCGCAACGTACACGAACGGGCCCCTGCATTCCTTCTATAGCCGCCAACGTCATTCGCTCCCCTGCTTGTCTCGACGCGCCGTGTTAGCCGAATACCTCTCGACCTACATTTCCAACACATACACGAAACCGCCTTCTATCCACGAACGAACGAAAGCCCTCGCGAACTTATATATATGGCGAGGGATGGTCCACAATACAGCATAAGACATAACCCAAGATGAGCGGGGACTGGGGGTATGGAGCTGTATTCAAGATATTCGTATGGGGCTACCTCGTGGGAGGGCTGACCCTTCTGCCCGCTGTACTTGTGGCCGTCTGGTTTCTGGGAACCAGCCCTGTTGGACAGGAAAGCACCACCGCCAATACAGAGGACGGGACAGCTTCAGGACAACGTAGGAAGTCAAATGGATCCACACACGGGAAGGACAGCGATAACGTGCATCTGGGTGTGGGCATAGATGATGAGATACTGGAGAAGCTAAAGGGCAGGACTCACGAGCCGGATGCATGTGCTGGATACTTTGCAGTATGCCGAGAGTACGTGCCAGGGGGTGTCAATGGCAAACCCCCAGATCGAACAACGCCAGCCGGGGCTGTAGTAGCCGTGGAAAGCCCGAGCGTATATCAATCCATATACAGAGGCATATTTGACAGAAACAAGACCACAAGTCCTTCGATAGAAGCAACGAATGCAAAGAACAAAAAGGCCCGCAACGTCTTCTATGTTGTCTTACGGTACGTTTATACATCCCAAACACGCGAAGTCGGACTAATGCAGAGCAGCCTTGGACACCTGATGTTATACGACAACGAGGATCAGCTTGAAGTACGACACGTCATATCGCTTGCGCATTACAAAGTAGATATATATGGAGGCGGAGAGCGCATACCAGAGGGCGAGCTATGGATCAAGCGAAACTGTATGCCTATACACTAGGATTTATGATTTTGTAATACTGATATGTCCAGGCATTCGACTAATCCGGCAGCTGGACAATAACGGCACGGATGCGGCGAAAGGCTTCTATTTGTTCTCCGACAACTGCTCTGAGAAGGAAGACTTTTACCACGCAATGCTAAACGCTCAGGAAAATCAGAAAGACCCCACGGATACAGACCATCCCTTTGTTCCACTCAAATTCGACACACCCGATCTTGTCAAGCTAGTGCAGCAGTTGCATGCCTCGGAAGAAAACCTCCATACTCGCTGGATCAATGCGCTGATTGGCCGAGTGTTCCTGGCTCTATACAAGACCTCGCAAGTCAAGGACTTTATCGCGAGTAAGATCAACAAGAAGATCGCGCGCGTCCCGAAGCCCGCTATCATTAGCAGTGTACAGCTACGTAAGGTCGACATGGGCACCCTCCCGCCTTTTATCACGAATCCCAAGCTCAAGGAGCTGACTGTCGATGGTGATCTTGTTGTGGAGGCAGATGTTAGCTACAAAGGCAACTTCCGCATCGAGATTTCGGCTACCGTTCGGATCGACCTGGGGACTCGATTCAAAGCTCGCGAGGTGACACTCGTGTTGGCTACTGTGTTAAAGAGGCTCGATGGTCATATCCTCATCAGAGTGAAACCTCCACCTAGTAACAGACTCTGGATGACGTTTGAGACACCACCTAAGATGGAGTTCTCACTTGAGCCAATCGTGAGTTCGCGTCAGATTACATATGGCGTTGTTCTCAGGGCTATCGAGGGCCGCATACGAGAAGTGGTGAACGAGACGTTGGTGTTGCCTAATTGGGATGACATGCCGTTTACCGATACTATCGCGCAGATCATAAGAGGCGGTATCTGGGAAGACAGTGCAAAGGAAGACGAGGAAGACACGGACAAGATCAAGCAGGATGAAGCCACACTTGAGACCGCGATTTCAGATGCTGAGAAGCTTGATGAAAAGGCCGACTTGGCAAGTGCGCACTTCTCTATTGCATCAAGCGTTGACTCAGAAGAGATTAGCACTGGTATATCTTCCTCGACGGATCACAAGTCTTCACCTTCGTCAGTGAGACCGCGGGCGATGCGGTCCTCATCGTCTGTCGCTCAGGTGAAGATTGACTCGTCGAATGCTTCTGCTGAGATTGCACATGACCGCACCATGACACCGACAAGTGTAAAATCACTTCCTGTCACATCGCCTACGAAGTCGCCCGTACGACCCAAGAGTGCGCGCAAGACAACGGAGTCATCAGAGAGTTCCTTAGAGGACACTTCTGCTGCATCAATATACGCAGAAAGCACTGCATCTGCACCGGTCCCAATCACAGAGCATTCGCGGACCAGGTCGAAAGAGCTAACCGCACAAGAGATCGCAGCAGCCGCGGCCGCCGCAGCAGGAGCAAACAATATGGCGACGAAGAAACAAACAATCAATCAGTCTCTCAACTCCGCCACAGCAGCGGCCAGGAACTGGCTCGCAGCCAAGCAGAACACCAAGCCCAACGCCAATACCAACAATAGACCACCGACATCTGAAGGCCCAAACCCAGATCATGACACATCGTCGTCGTCGTCTTTGGATGCCCGCCCGCAACTTCAGTCAAACCCCTCGATCTCCAAATCCCACACAGAACCCATGGGCAGAGGTCAGCCCCTCCCACCTCCGGGCACACCTCTCCCGCACCCTAAAAACGAGAAGAGACAGACCTGGGCCATCCCCGCCGCTGCCTCAAATACATTTGCTAATCTCACAAAACGGAAACCCGTCGCCCCTACTACCAACTCGCCTGTCGTTTCCAGCAAGAGATCAGTGGAGGACCTCATTGATAGCCCAAAAACATCGCTAGGTACAGCTTCCTTGGGTACGGCCTCCCTCCTACCAGCCGCGCATTTCCCAGACCAGGACGCTAGGACTGGCGGTGGTAATAATGCTGGAGAAGAAAACGATGGAGAGGATGTTTTCCGTGAGATGCGCAGAAGGAAGAGCAGTGCTGCTAGTAACGAACTAGCAACGCCGCCTCCACCGTTACCGAAACGCAGACAAAGACAGCCGAGCTTGAATCTTAGTGCGCATCAGAGGCGGGCGAGCCAGAATCAGAACCTGCAGCCTTTTGGCATGGGAGAGGAGTTGCTTGTCGTCGAGGCGCCGGTTGTCGATGGGAAGGATGATGAGGGGAGTAGGGAGAGAGGAAATATGTGATGAAACACTGGTTTGAACCGATAGCACAAACACTCTTCTTTGAACGATTTTGCAAAGACGTAACATGCCTATCGTGGGGGCATGGGACTTGTGATGGCTATGCTGTGACTCGTGGCAATGGCACGCTAGAGCGACGTTCTTGTCTTCCAACCATGCTCTTCTGTCGTTCCTGTACATGTGCGAGACTTATGTTTTCTGTCTATTTGTGCCTTTCAGTTCTTGGGTAGGAACGTCAAATTTTTTGAAATGCTAGTGACGGACAGTCTGCGACGATGCGATAAGCGTACATTTGAGAGGCGTGATATCGTTGACATGTGGGGCTTGGCAGTAATGTTTGGGAAGGCGTGACGAACAAGTGCTAGGTACAGGCTGAGAAAAGCTCGCTCCTTCTTGACAGGGGGAAATTTGTTGTTTGGCCTCTCAAACGATCAGATGCTCCCTGGTTCCTGTACGCTATAATATCAAGTTGACGGTACCGATCTTGGTACTTCCTTCTGCCCATCGCCACTCGTAGTGTTCTACATTCATGTGCTGACGAAGAATAACACGGTGCATACCTTCAGAAGTAAACACAACGAAGCTTTGATTGGTCACTTCGACGGAGCTAAAGTCGGTGCAACCCATCTGGTATCTTCTTTCGCCAATCTGGTTGACGATGCGATCTCCAGATCCGCTGAAAAGTTGTTTGCTCCATCCTCTTCTTTTGTGTATAGGCTTTCAGCTCCGAAGTCTATTTCCCTTTGCTTTTCTGTAGCGGCGTACCTCATGTACCGTCGCATCATCAACCCATCTTCGCATTGGAGAAATCCATCTCAGGATGCTGCTTCTTGAACTGCTCCAAGATATCCGCCTTCTTCTGCTCGTCACTTGTCGGCTTTCCTGCCTCCTTCTGTCTCTGGTCGAACATCATCTTCTCCACCATACCCCGTGTCTCCCCGTCGAGGTCGCCTAGTTTGCTGTTCTCGGGCTGGATCTTGGACGTGTCGATCTTTGGCGCGGTTGTGACTACGTGTGCCCACCACTCGAGCTGGTTCACCTTGTCGAGGTGGATGGAGATTTCCTTCTGCGACCCGACCGAGGCCAGTGTCCAGGTGGAGTCGTCGACGCGGATGGGATGAGGCAGCTCGCCCTGGAGAAGGCGTTAGTCAGCGCAGGCTATCTGCAGACAGGATAGGGAGCGACGAACGTCAATGAAGGGCTCCTGGCCCTTTATGCCGGCCTTGAGCTTGTTGCGGCCGATGTCGACGACCAGGTCCTTTCCCTTGTACTTGGCATCAATGGTGATTGTGATGTCGAGGTCCTTGATGGTCTGGTCCCATTTGTAGGGCAGCGCCGCCTGCTCGGCCAGCTCCTTTGCGCGCGCCTCGGCGTCGGCCTTGTTCTTCTCCTCGGGGGGTGGCGAGGCAGACATGGTGAATGGCTTGGTGGTGTTTTGCAAAGTTTCAGTGATTGCGAGGGGAGCGTGGGCGGGACACGATGACGCTCCTCCGCCGATCCATCGTTCGCAGCAGGACCGACGCAAGCGCAAGCTCCACCATGCGCCCTGCTTCACTCACCCTACCCCGGTCCACTCTAATAACGGACATGCTCCTCGGGCCTTGACATCCACGGGTCTAACCTCACTTCTATTGATAACGCGACGTCTCCTATCCTTCCACCCGCGCCGTAATGCTGTCCTAGGAACACCCGAGCTCTCCATTGCGACACATAGCCAGGACACCCGCAACCCACGGTAACACCAACGGCAACACATAGCCAGCGGCCCAACCGGGCAGCGATCTGTCTGAGCGACAGTATCCATAGCAACTCATGGCCAGCTCCTTTGAGAAGAGTGTCAAGGGTGGCACCAAGATCAAGGTAGCTATGCGCCTGCCCACCCTCCTCCCGTTCACGTCATTGGCACCCGTTGCGCCGTCACAGCAAACTAACAAGTCTCGCAGCTCGCAGCACCCAAATCCAAGTATGTCGAACACATCCTCGTCGCGACGCATGCCGGCGAAGCTGGTGTCGCTGAGATCTTCCGCGCCCTTACGAACCGATTGCGCGACTCGACATGGACCATCGTATTCAAGAGCTTGATCATCGTACATCTCATGATAAGAGAGGGAGAGCCCGAGGTTACGCTCAAGTTTCTGGCGCAAAACCCGCACAGAAAGCTGGCCATCAACCATTTTACAGAGGGTATGTCTTGAGATTTCGTCCCAAGCACACGTGTCCAGGCTCATGCACCTCTATCACGGACACAAATTGGGCAGCAAGCACGTCGCCCAATGTCCTGTGAGTTTGGGCGGATGTGGTTTGGCTCGCGACTAGAGGCGTATACAGAGTGCTAACATTGCGTGCAATAGTACAGACCCAGGGACATAACATCCGGACCTACTCCGAATACCTGCTACGTCGAGCGATCGAATATGGCGCCACCAAAGTCGACTACGTGCGCGGCGGCGAGGGGCGGCTTAAGCGGCTCACTGTAGAAAAAGGCCTTCTTCGTGAGGCAGAGAGTGTGCAGGATCAGATCAGATCATTGCTCAAGTGTCAGGTATGTGCAGCCATGTCCAACCACATCCCTTGCTGGTTTGACTTTGTATAGCCATTCGACGACGAACCAGAAAACGAGATTACCATGACAGCGTTCCGACTGCTCACGATGGATTTATTGGTGCTCTTCCACGTTATGAACGAGGGCACTATCAACATTCTCGGTGGGTTCAGCATACGTACTTGGGTTGCAGTGTACTAATTAGACAGAACACTATTTCGAACTATCCAAACCGGATGCAACGCGTGCCCTGGCAGTATATCGCACATTCGTCAAGCAGACTGAAGCTGTTGTTCAATACCTCAGCCTTGCAAGAGCGCACGAACACTCGACAAGACTGGAGATCCCCAAGATCAAGCATGCCCCTACCAGTCTAGCAGCATCTCTAGAAGAATATCTAAACGATAAGGACTTCGAGATCAACCGACGGCAGTACATCGCCGAGAAGGAAGCCAAGAAGAATGGTGGTAAGCCTACCAATGGCGCCAGCAAACCCATCGATTCGAAGCCCGTAGCTGCATCCTCGAATACTACTAGCAGTCAACCACCAGCGGCGCCGGCGAAACCTTCATCTAGCGCACCTCTAATTGATCTCTTTGCATCACTCGAGGACAACCAACAGACCATGGCCACGCAACCGATGATGCAGCAGTACCCCCAACAAACAGGCTTCCAAGTTCCACAGCAGACTGCGAATATGGGCTTTCCCCAACAGCAGCAGCCCTTTCCGATGCAGAACGGGCAGAGTACCAACCCATTTCAGATGCAACAGCAACCACAGGCGCCGCAGATGCAGGCACCTCAGATCCAACAACAATTTACAGGCGCGGGCTTCGGAGGCTATTCCCCGCAGCCTTTTGGCGTGCAGAACACCATGCCATCAATACCACAAGGTGGTATGCCTGATTACTCACAACAGCAGCAGATGCAGATTCCCACAATTGCCGAACCTCTGCAGCCACAACAAACATCAACAAATCCATTTCGACAGTCGATGTTACCTAGTGCCGAGCCCAAGATGCTTACCAGCCCTACCAGCACAGGTTCGCTCAACCGTTCATCCACGAATCCGTTTGCAAAACACAACACTGGGTTTTCACCACAATCGCAATCCCCCGTTAACTCTCCGCCTTACTCAATGTCACCCATCCAAGAATCACCATTTACTTCGATGCAGCAACAGCAACCCATGCAGCCGTTACAACCAACGCCTACAGGCACGAACCCATTTGCACGGCAGCCTTCTCCACAAAGTGCCGCACCTTCACAGGGTGGTTTGACAGTGCATGCGACGGGCAGTACCAATCCCTTCCGACAGAGCGCTTTCGTCAACCAGCAAACAGGTCAAGGCTGGCAAAATGCAGGTTCACAAGGTACAATGGGCGGGATGAGCTTGGACGCAGTACCTACAACAAGTGTCTTCCCACGACCTGGTCAGCAACAACAGCAGAACTTCCTTGGCTAGAATCGAACGGGTTGATGGGTCAGTGATGAGCTTTGGGATCTAAGAGGTCTAAAGGCTAGTTCGCGTGACACGCTTGAAGCTATTATTTTCATTGGAATGGCGTTTTAACTGCCTGCCGCTGTAATTATTACGTACTTGGTTGGACATAATCATGCCGCACTCCCAAAGCTGGGTGTGCGTACATCGGTCGCTATGAAGGAGCGTTGGAAGCCCGCTCAACCTCAGATGCTCGGAGGACAGACAGGGCTGTTTTGTGATAGATCATGTATCTGCGATCTGATAGTTTCGTTGGGCAGCTGGGAGGATTCAAGGAAGGAGGAGCCCCTTGCAAATGCAATACATAATTACTGTCGCACTAACGTGTTATGCTGCTTGTCGTATTTGAATCAACAGTTGACTATATCTCGAGTGTACGTCTAAATCAAGAGTTGCGTTAGTGGAGGTTACACAACCGCCGCTGCCGTCTTCATGAACGCAGGGGTAATAGAAGCCACGTGCCGACGCGTAACCGTAGATTTAGCGCGACTGCCGTCGGCTTCACTTCGTCAGACTTCAAATCCGCCACAACAACCCCGCTCGCTTCAAGTTGCATTATACAAACTGCAGCATGACCACGATAGCTGTCGTCTCTATTACCGACTCTCATGACAGTATTGATAAAGCACGGAGTTGCCCGCTCGCGCTTGCAAATTCGCATCTGCGTCTTCAACGATGAGACCCAACGGGTCTCTTGACGCTCCCATCGTCTTGGATGACGATGAACCGTCTAGCTATGTACCTCGTACCACAGTACGGCGGCAGAATCGTCAGACACTTGAACAAGATGGCATTGAGGAGGTATCCTATGCACGGGAAGCTGCAGCTGAATGGAAGCTAGCTGCCGCGAAGAGACAAGCAAAACAAAGGAATGCGAGGAATCTGGGCAACGACATGTCTGAGAGAGATGGCAATACAAGAGATAGCAATCTTGCAAAACAAGCGAGGGAAAAGACGTCGCCTGCAGAGCCTGCCGGCGTTGCTGACCTTGTAATCAACGAAGAAGCGGCAGCATTAGGAGGGATAACGCAACACGAAGCAAGTAATAGAGATGATCAACTTCCGGCAGATACAACACAAAAGCCGATATCGCAATCTAATACGCATCACGAAGCTGTGCTCCCCCAGCGAGCCAAGCCCCCTGGGCCTGCTCAACAAACCGGTCTGGACGAACCTTTTCTTATGGAATCCTCATATTTAGCTACCCCAGTGTATCGCTCACCATATGGGCCCCAACCGCCAGTCACAAAGCTACCGGAACCAAGCGTGGTACTCTCTGGGGCTGCACAACCTCTTTCCTGGCCGTTGGACATACTGGAAGCGAGGTCAGATCGAAGCGCTACGGCACCTGCAATCGCGAAAACCAACAGAAGTGTCATTGAGCCTACGTACAGCACGAATTCAACCCTCGCTACTTCGAGTGACGCGATTGCGCCCGTTTTGAGCCATGTTGAACCTCTACCTATGGAGCCAATCAGGGATGTTGCCGATAATCACCGTGAACGGACCCTCCTCCCTAATCGCGTAAACACGGCTTCTGTGCGCGACCACGCAGGACTGGATGGCGACGACAACAACATGGCAATTCCAGTGACTGTGAAAGCACCTAGCCCGGGCGTGTCAGCAATTCCGAAACTGCCACGGAACAAGAAAGCCATCAAATCAGTAAAACGGAGGAATGGTGGATTCTCCAAACCAAGTCTCCCTGTCAGGTTACCGCATCACCTTCCGCGTAATGAGAAAGAGACGCCAGAGGTTCTCTCAGATCGTCCTGATGCAGGCTTGAGCGACACGAGACTTGCGTCGCCTCTTATAACGCGTCAAAGCCAGAGCAAAGATCCACTAGGTGACATTAACATTGTCTTCGACACCGATCCTGTTTATGTTGAGCAAGAATCCATTCAAACTGAGAGACCCGAAGAACTCAACTTGATTCTAAACCCACCGACATTACTATCTCATCAGGAAACACGAGAAGTCGTACTAGAGCGTACCCTTAGCACTACCGTTCCGCTGTCTCGTGCCGCTACCCCTACTGTACAGCGTTCAGTTCAGGGGTCTGTAGAGTCAGGCGAAGCGTCTGGAGTATTGCCGCCGGATTCAGATACTATGCCAGCAAACACATCTAAAGCAGCATCGTTTGAAGTAATACAGAGTGGTAAAGCACAACCCAAAAACACAGGGGGGCTTGGCAAACATAGTGACGGTCAAGCAAGCACGGCTCTTCCGTTGCAGACAAACGTGCTTATCACTACTCGCTCGGCTGTAGAAGAGTGTTTGAAGCGTCATCTCGCGGAACGACATGAAGAACACGCATACCTGGTCTCGGTTAAGATGTTGCGTCAAAGGACTTTCCAAGAGCAGGAGCTTCGCGCTCAAAGCCGCAAGCAGAAGCGTCCACCAAAATCAACCTTACCACAGAGATACATACAGACCACTTCTCCTTTCCAGGACATGTCTCCGATACAAGTACCGTTCGACCGGAGCGCCAACACGAAACGTATGTTAGATATGAGTCAGGAAGTTTACGTCAAAGCCAAACCCAAAGACACAGTAACTAAATCTGGTTTGGCTGCGCCTCCAACAAAATACAAAAGCGACGCACCTATGATACCTCCCTTTAAGGAGTACGTTAGTTTAAGGAACAACATTCTCGCGGACAATGAGTCAAAGCTGCTCGCAACACCCTACTTCCAGGACGAGGACTATACCGGTCGCGAGATCTTGTTAGATACGCTTCCATATATCTACGAGATGACACATGACGAAAATGGCCCGTTGGACTTTCGCAAGGAGCAGTGTCGGTTCTATAAAGACGCTATAGAAGTCTTCCTGTCCGAGATAGGCATCGCGTGGAATGACATTTTGTATTGGTTGCTAGCACCAGAACGAAATATCACCCGGATCAACGATTTAGCACCTGGCAGTAAATACTTTGAAGCACATGTGCTTGAGCGATCGCGGTACGACATTGAAGAGTTCGAGCGAGATGGAGTACCAAAGAGAAACGTACTATTCAAACGGAATGATAGGAAATGGCGGGAGTTTTTGCCCCAGCTCAAAGAGCCTTCTACCAGTGCTCTGAGACTTGCGGCAACGGCTTGTGCAGCGGTTCTTCAAGAATGCGAGTTTAGCATCTGGTACCTTGCTCGACAATCGGAAGCCGTTCAAAACCATGTAGCGAAGAAGACTGCATGTGGACAAGCTGCCAAGCAATCCACTTATAAGGAGATGTTGTGCAGAGTTTGCCATCAGTGAGTTTGATTGTGTGATTTTTGGAGACGTAATTCTAACATTCTTGACAGACATAACTGCTTACTCCATGGCGAAATCAGACAAGCACCCGAAGACTCCTGGAAAACGGATTCTGAGGATGAGGATCGCGCCACACAAGCGACTGACGACACTAGTCGACGAGGCTCTGAGACCAAAAGAACTCCTCGCCGCATCTCGGCTTACGGCGGAGATGATACTGAAGACGAGCACGAAGAAGGCCCCTTGCCTGCACACTTTGACAACGATTCTGATATCGAGAGGGTCATCAACTACAAGTTGCCTGCAAACCCAGACGCCTTTAATACTTGTCCGAATTCCGAAATGATTGCATCTAAGGGCGCAAAACCGCCTCCCGGTAAATTTAATGCAAACTGGTGGCTACAGCAAGATATGACACAGCATTGGGAAAAGCGAAAGCCGTTCTTCCCATGTAAACATGAAGGCACTTGTGAGGAGGCGAAATGCCGGTGCTTCCGGGAGGGCATCAATTGTGAGAAGACGTGCAAATGTTCGCGGACATGCAATCGACGCTTTCCTGGTTGCAGTTGCACGATAGGACCTGGAAAACGCCCATGTTTTACCATCTCGTGCCTCTGCGCCAAATTTAACCGAGAGTGCGATGCAGACCTTTGCGGCGCTTGCGGAGCGTCTGAAGTCCTCGATCCAGTGAACCGATACAACGACGACGTGATTGAACGCAACTGTTGCAATGTTGCGATCCAAAGAGGTGTTCCTCGGAAGACGTTGCTGGGCCACTCCGAAGTGCACGGTTTTGGACTCTACATGGGCGAAGACATCAAAAGCGGCGATTACATTGGCGAATATACCGGTGAAGCTATCTCGGTCAAGGAAGGCGATCGGCGAGTCACCATATACGACTACCAGAAAACGATGTACCTGTTTCGGTTGAACTCAAGTGAGTCTTCAAATCAGACTAATTTGAATCAGATTGCTGACTCAATGGCTTAGAACAAGAAGTCGATGCCACGTATATGGGAAACAAGCTACGCTTTATCAACAATGCCGACGATAAGTACACAAATTGTAGCCCTAAGAACCTGCTCTGCAACACAGTTTTCCGCATTGCTCTCTTTGCAACCAGAGACATAAAGGCAGGCACCGAGCTCTACTTCAACTATAATTATCCCAAGGAGAAGACTGCGCAGTTCAAACAGCCGAATGCTAAGGCCGTCGCAGTCAAGCAAACAAAACAAAAAACGAAGAAGAGGCAGTCACTTACCAGCAGTCAGCCCATCGAGGATCGCTCACGTGTCCTGGCCGCCACAGCAAAGGCCAGAGAAGCTAAAGCTGCCAAGCGCGCAGCGGCCCAAGCCATGCTAGAATCCAGTGATGCGCAGGCTGCTACGAAAAGGCATTCTGGAACACTCAAAGCACGGAAGGCAGCGACCGGTGAGCCTGGACGCAAGATAGCGAAGAAATCCATGCGTGAAGCACTCAGCAGGGATGACTCTACATACACAGACACAGACACTGGCGTAGATGCGGAAGCAGAAGCAAGCGACCCCGAGATCCCCGCCGTCATTGAGTCGCAGAGTACTCAGACTAGTCAGTATGTTCAGGACACTGAAGAAGATAACGACGAATATGTCTTGACTACGCAAGAGGATGACGAAGAGGAAGATGTAACTGAGCCGGCCTCTGATAATGAGCAGGCGATTGTGCCAGACAGGGGTGTAGCCACGAGAACTCGTCGTGGGCCTGGCAGACCACGGAAGAGGATTTCAGACTTGGCGCCGGTGATTGCGGTGAAGGACAAGAAGACGAAAGCGAAGATGGGCGGTGCACGACCGGGTGCTGGCAGAAAGAGAAAGCGACCTATCATTACTAACAGTGATGATGAGTAAGACCTCTATGCCGGTGATGGGAGCACATACGGAGATGAAAGGGTGGGCGTGGTTTGAAGACCTTCTCTCATGCTTGTAGCGATTATTCTGTCGACAATACCCCAACCTGTACCCATTCATGGCGATGTCACAACTGAAGCACCAATCATTCTGGTGATGCAATAAATCGGGATGCTATGGTGAATGCATTACATATCCGCTCAACACACAAACCCAGATCAAGTTTGATCGACTACTGTTTTTTGCTACTTCCTAAGCTACACCAGTGTCATAGCATATGGTGCTTCGAAATATTTTTGCGGTTCTGCAACGTCATAGCTACATTTGTCTTCACTGCCTACCAAAGTTTAGTCCTACAACGTCCAGACCAGCCGTCGTACCAACATCTCGGGACGCGACCCGGAGAAGCGTTAAGCCAGGCCATCGGCTTATGATGAGGTAGCCGCACGCATCGCCTGTGTACGCGGTGCGGAGAAACGATATAATGTTAAGCGTTGCGACTATTGAACGCTTGGGTAGCGGGAGGGGAGGGGTGATGTCCGCGCGCGTGCCTTGATCGGATGACAATCTCAGCGTGCGCGCAATGATAAGAAGTCGTTGACAAACCTGATACTGCGTAATTGTGCATGCCTGACTGTTGAGACAAGCATTTACGGGATGGGTATCTTAAATGAGGGTTGGTTTTTGTTTTGGACGTATGGTGGCATGGCTTACAGTTCTTCCGATGGAATCGATGCGGCGGAGCATTAAGGTTTAGAGTGGGGATGGGAAACTTACTAGTGAGATGCTCAAGATAGATGTAACAGGAACGCGTGGAAAGCGATGTCGTGTCCCGGGCGCGATGCATCTCGCAAGACTTGAGATGGAGATACGGCTGTTGAGAATATGAATTATCTCACTCTCGTTCAGCTCGCTATTGTGAGACGGGTAAAGACAACTGATGATCGTCACGTGAGCCTCCACCCAATCTAGCTCGAGAAGCTTAGCAGCTTACCCTGTTCTGGCTGCACCACAGACCGTATGGAACCTCAACCGATATCGTCATAAAGGAATCATGTTTCCCTCATTTACCAAAGACTCTCCAGCAGAGTCATTGCTTTTTACCCTTTAGCCTCGATGCCCATTCGAAGCCGAACCTGGAAAATACCCGTGATGCGCCAAGCTGACCGGAGACCAAACCCACCTGCTACATTTAGCCTCTTAGCTCCGCAGTTAGCTCCACCCACTTGCTCACTAGAGGGACACAAAGCGACGGTTTAGTCTCGGCCAATCCTCGCGTCCACGCCGCAATGTCAAGCTGCGTGTGGTAGGCAGTTCGGCGCGTGTTCCTTTGTCCTCTTAGGGGGCAGGCTGTGGGAGGATAGGAGATGTCGCTCGACTCTGTTGTATTCGATAGTCTCAGGACAAAGAAGTAAGACAAAGGGGACAATCAATTTCCGGCGTCGCGCATGCCGCAACGAGGTCTGGATCCACCAGTCTGATTGGATACTGATGTCATATGCGCCTGGAGCGTGCACGACTTTCACATGCCAGAGACCGTCAGTGAGTGTCGTGCGGTGCAGCAACACGGACAACGGCCCCACTATGTGAATGGGCGCAAATGATGGCGCGCTTCACTTGCCCTTCAGCTTGCGTAACAAAGCTTGGAAACGTGGGAACCCGCTCCAAACCTCACCTTGTCATTTTTAGGCGTCTAGACTGTCCTTTCGCTGCTTGTTTAAACATTCGGAAAAATTAATTCGACGGATTTGTTGTTGAAATTGGGAAGTCGCTTTAGACAGTACTATTGCCGATATCCGCAACACGCATGCAGCTGGATCTGTTCATCATTCATCCAGTCTTACTCCTCATTCTCACCTGACGTCTTCCGACTCCGCTTTCCAACACCACGCCCATCCACCATCTGGGCACGTTACTAGCACATCACCACACCCACTTTTCGATCAACCTCTCGGTCTTATCTCACGTCTTACACATCTTCTCGGCGAAATGGATTGCATAGAGGCCATGGGCGCGCGACGAGCCATGTCGCTCATGTTCACCGTCCCGGAGCGCTTCGTAGGCTTCGCGCACATGGATCAGAAGACCTTCTTTGAACTCTCAGACTGGATCCTGGCAAACGTCGCATCACAAATTACTCCGGACATAAGTGTGGAAGAATCGCTCTTCATCTTCTTGGATATCGTGGCGCAAGGGAACAGCTTCAGTACTGTGGCGTATGGGTGGGATCATGACTTGGAGCTTACACAAGGGTATGTCATTCGACAAACACTGCTTGCGTTGAATTGGACTAGGAACTGACTGTCGCGGGTGTAGCATATTCCTAAACGTCCTTAACGCTCTCACAATCCTACGCGAGAGTAGGGAAATCGCCGATACGTGCCCGCCCTTTACACAAACCCGTAAGCGATGGGAAGTCGCTCGCAAATGGAACCAGAAACGATCTCGCATGGGCGCCAGTGGTGGCGTTGCCCGGATAGGCTACGACGAAATGTGCCGAGATGGTCTTGAGGTTGACCAAGAGTGCCTGAAAGAAGCCCTGATGGCGCTGAACAACTTCATCCATGAGAACGCGGACCACGATGAATCATGATTGCGTGCGCAATTCTGCCATTTCCTTTGTTTCTTTGCATCTGCTCCGGTGTTGATTTGGCGTTTGGGTAACGACTAGGGTAACGCATTGCACCGGTTGGGAAGGTTGAGCTTGGTGTTGACACGATCTTCTCTCGTTCTTGTTTCGTATGTACACATGTACTCTCTTTTGCAGATCAAATCGATCCCCGCTGGCCGTTTGACGCCGCTGCATTCGCCTTCAGATGTCTCGTGGATATGTCGTGACGTCTTCGATATCGTCTGCTCAGGCCAGGGCTACAGCTTCCACCGTACCTTTGCCCAACACACTCAGCCTGCCCCTCTTGATTCCTAGTGCGTCTTCAATCCTCGAATCGGGTTCTCCCTTGGCCTGTCTCATCATCGCCAATGTTATGACACCAGCATCCACATATGTTCTCCCTTGGAAACCTCTCCTACCTACGTCTCGCAACTCGTCTTCCGCCTGATCTGCTATCTTTTGTCTTGCCTCTAGTACTCGCAGTACAGGGTTGTTGCGCGGGTCTGGGAACGCGGACTGTGGTAGCGATTGCATCATGGTATCCGAGGGCAAATTGGGCGAGGTGTTACGACGAGGATCGAACTGCGATTGAGAGGAAGGCGAGTAGTGTGGGTTTGGTTGCACAGCACCGAGACTGCTCAATCGAGATGCGAAGGCAGGATCGCGCGCATCTTGTAAGACAGCTGGAGTTAAAATTAGTACTGTGTCGCCAATCCTCTTAAGACTGTAATATCACATACCTTCCGTCTTTTCTCCTGTAGCCTGCACCTCAGGATGTACAGTCGGTCCCCTTGTAGGAGCCTGTGCAGGTGCGGAAGGCGCGGGAGCCCGTTGTGTAGTACTTGTAGGAGCCCTGGTAGGGTATTGCCGTGCGGCAGAGCCAGCAGCCTTTGCGCCTTTAGAAGCCGAAGAGCCCATTATCGTTATTGAGGGGTATGTTGAATGTGGGGTTGTTGCAGAATGTTGAGATGCGTGGTGATAACGGGGGGAAAGATAAGATGCACGTATGGGACTTTGTGAAGCTCGGACCAACTCGATGATGTCGTGGAGATCTCCCGCGTCATGAAGGGGTTTACTACTTTGGGTGATGCTTGCGAAGTATTCAACGAATCGTAATTTTATTTCAGCAACATCGTCCCACGATAGTCTCAGGCAACAACGCTCTACGCTTAAAGAAGCTTTTCGTCTGCGCGGTAGTGCCCTGCGACCAAGAAAGCCAACTCCAACGCCTGCTTCTCGTTCAACCTGGGGTCGCAGTATGTTGTGTAGTTCAGACTCAGATCCTCATCCACCAAACCTTCACTTCCTCCGGTGCACTCTGTGACGGCATCGCCAGTGAGTTCTAGGTGCATACCACCAAGGAATGAGCCATGTTCCTTGTGGATCTTGAGTGCTGATGAAAGCTCGGAGAAGATGCTGTTGAAAGAGCGGGTCTTGATACCAGTAGGCGTGCTGCGCGTGTTGCTATTGATGTGTTAGCGATTGAAGCTTCTCAAATTGAAGGTCGACTTACCCATGCATAGGGTCACACTGCCACACTACAATGTGCCCACTGCTCTTGACAGCTTCAATGTGCGCACCAAGCATAGACTCAACCTTGTCCGCACCATAACGCGTGATCAACGTAATCTTGCCGATCTCCTTGTTTGGATTGACAATGTCAAGTAGCTCAACCAACTCATCGTTCTTCATGGATGGCCCAACCTTGATACCAATGGGGTTCTCAATACCACGGAAGTACTCCACATGGCCTCCATCGATCTGGCGAGTTCTGTCTCCAATCCAGATAAAATGAGCAGAGGTATTGTACCAGCCCTTGCCATCGTTTGATGGTTGCGAAGGCTTGTAACCAGCGGGATGTCTGAGCCTCCTTGTCAAGCTCTGTTCATACTCTAGCACAAGACCTTCGTGGCTGGTGAAGAGATCGACTGTTTGTAGCTGACCGGATGTATCCGCACCGATGGTCTTCATGAACCGTAGTGAGTCGGAGATGCTGTTTACAATCTTCGTGTACTTTGACTGCAGCTCTTCATCCCGAACATGACCAAGTTCCCAATCCAGAGGGTTATGCAAGTCAGCGATGCCACTTGCTAGCTGTCCACGAATGTAGTTCAGGGTCGTCGCAGAGTGGAAGTAAGCGCTGACCAACCTCTCGGGGTCAACTCTTCGGGAATCAGGATCATATCCGTTAAGAATATCGCCACGGAAGCTGGGAACCTCCTTGCCGTTCAGCATCTCAGTTGGGCTTGATCTGGGCTTAGCATATTGTCCGGCTATGCGGCCAATACGAATGACAGGCTTATTCGAACCCCAAATCAGAACCAAACTCATCTGCAACAGAAGCTTGATCTTTGCATCGATTGGGTTGTCTGCACAGTAAGAGAACAACTCGGCGCAGTCACCTCCTTGCAGCAAAAACGATTTTCCAAGTGCAGCATCGCGGAGACTAGCCTTGAGTCTGGCTATTTCTGTCGGAGTGACGATTGGTGGAAGACTTGATAGCTTGGTCAAGGCAGAAGACACTGCTGCTTGGTCTTCGTAGGTAACGACTTGCTTAATGGGTTTTGACCTCCAAGCTATACTTGTTAGTACATCGACACTAATATCCATGATGCTTTCTTACAGGCCGGCGACCATCCCTCAGATTCACCGTTCGCCTCAGCTTCTTGCTTTGGCCTTTCAGGCAGTTGTGTCGAGTTTGCGCTCATGGTGGGTTGAGATGACTGTGATTGTGGTTGGCCGCTGGCTGCTGCCATGAACTGGGAGACGTAATCGGTCAATTTTGCGTGTCCTTCGCTGTCCATAGTGTGATGCTTTCTCAGGTGATACACAGTTTTGGTGACTAAGTCAAGGTTGTCTAGGCGCGACACAAAAGACTAGCTTCGAGTCACTTGTTAATATGGCAATGCGGCAAGGATTCGCCTGCATAGAGACGTGAACAAAGGGCACAGGCACATGACTCAAGGGACAAAATCTGCAACGAAAAGCGGACTGCGCGCGCAATACTCAATGACGTAACGCGGCCGACTTACCTCGAATATGCTGATAGATGTAAAGCGACTACTCGATCGCTCTTGTGCTAGTTTTCTTTTGCAACATTATGTTCCGTGTTCGGGGTGTGTGTGCGCTCATAGTGTAGGATGCATGAATTAGAAAGATCAGCCAATGACGGCCACTCTTTTTTCCCATTGGCTACATTTCCATAATTCTTAGCTACCCCACACCCCGCAGCTCTCCAACCCACAATCGTCATTCCATCTATCTCTACCGACTGTGTAAGCTCTTGAGGCCACCACCTATTCCTTCAAATCTCCAAACCCATACCGCGTTACTACTAGTATCTAAAATGGCAGAGCCCCAACCTTCTGGTGTTCAGGAAGGCGCTGCCGACCCTCACGCACCCACCGGTACAGCTGAAGACCGCAAAGCCGCCGCTGCCCTCTCTACTCTCGATGCGCCACAAGAAGGCGACAACGGCTCCAAGAAGGAAATTGATGGGAAGGCACTAGACAAAGCGATGAAAGGTTTAAATGTCAAGGACAAGAAAGAAGGCGAGAAGAAGAACGTCAAGATTGAGGCCGCGGATGTTACTCTGCTGGTATGTCAACCTTGTGAAAGATGGATGAGAGAGTGACGAGCGAGTGCCATAAGTTAGCTACGCATGCACTGACATTAGCACGAACAGGTTAACGAACTCGAAGTCACGAAGCCAAAGGCGACGGAGCTGTTGCGCGCGCATGATGGCAACGCGGTGAAGGCTATGAGCGCATTTGTCATGGCGGCGCCTTGAGCGAGTACGTGAGAAACATGACCGCGACTATACCCAGAAAAATCTTTCATGATTGAGAATGCGCGTAGAGAGATGTTTGGGTATACATCTGAGTGTGAGACAAGAGCTGGAGGGATACACACGCTTCGTGGCTACAGTATGCAAGGGGACGATGAGCAAAGATTACCAATATAAGGAATGGATTGGGACATGAAGAGGAATTAGCGCAATGGTATCCCGGGTCAATAGCGCTCTAGAACAAGAATAAACGGGGCATTGGCGACAGAATAACGGCAAGAGTCGAATAGCGCTGACAAGATAATGTTAGACAGGAGAGAAGAAATCGATCAACTAAAAACTGGATTACGCGTACAGACCAAGATCCTCCTTGGCAATGATACTCCAAAAGTCAACCACAAATTCCCCACCTTCCTGCAACAGGATTGCAAACGCTTCGTGCTTCCCAATAGTCGACACCTCACATACTATGTACTCAACCACTAGCTTCCTGAGATCCTCAATCGTTCCATCGGGCTTCCTGTCCTCTCCATGGTCATACGCGTATCTAGCTAGATCTATCACATCGCCCACTCGTCGACTGTAAAGTCTGAACGGGAGAAGAGTTCGATGAAGCTTGTGTAGGGCCAGGCGCTTAAGTGGGTCAACGAGGCGCATGCAGGCGAAGGTATAGAGACGCGCGTGCGCTAGGAAGATGGGCGTGAAGTTCTGAGTGCGCTTAGAGTTTCGTTTAGGCAGAAAGTCGAGCTGTATTTGCGTTGGGGGCTCATTCTGCATGAGATACTGGCGTTCGCCGAAGCTTTGGCGCAGAGACTGAGTCTCTCGGGCAGCTTTTTCCCTAATCTTTGCTTCCCTTCTTGCTTTGAATGTTTTCAACCCCGTATATTGATTAAGACCAACAAGGGTTTCTGCTACTACCGCCGAACTACGTAGAGTCTCTTCAGCCTGTCCAGCCGCCAGAGTCTGTTCAGCCTCCAGAACTTCTAGTTCCAGCTCCTCTAACTCTGACTTTGTCGGTGACTGTGCGTCTTCGCCATTGCGGATAGTTCCGTTCATGCTGCGGTTCTCCACGGTTCTCTCATCCATGGTCCAGGAAGGCGGAGTGTAATCATTACGATAGGCGTACTCGACGAAGCGAGCAAAATCACATGCATCCATGTCAGGATACTCGACAGACCCCTCTTGCGACTGCACCATGCCATTGCTCACAAGCGCATGGAAATGCCATGAGGTTGCGGCGATTGCTTTAGAATGAACAACGAAGGCCTTCTTTTCTTTCCCAACATAGAACGTAAATAGTTTTGATTGGATAAGTCTATGTATTATCAGTTACGTAGTTAGATGAATAGTGCTGCGCACGTACTCCTCAAAGGAACATGTAGTTGATGGCTCGCCCATTTTTGGTACGTTTGATGGACTCTGTAGTACCTCTTAAACTAGCCATAATATGCGGTGATCAAGACTTTAAGCGCTTGATGCGGGGTCGTACAGCGCATACTTACACAGGCGATATGTGCGTGGTGTAGTACAAGATGATCCTGCTGCCTGTGGCGTCCAGACACGTCTTCCAGATGTGCAGCTGTCTGCACTGTGCCGCAAACGTCAAACAGATACTGTCACACATAACACAAGCCGATAGTCATTGGACAATCTCGTCAAAACGAAGGACAGCAGGATAAGTGCGCCTGGTAATACAGTAGTCGATAGATAATTTTAGCTCAATCCTGTCCTGAAGGTCTCTGAGACAGTTGATTGAGCGGAGGCCGAGCGAGCAGCTCGCGAGGTAAGGGACAAGGATTCGAACACTAAGATCAACAGATTGCCTGCGGTCGGTGATTGTAAGAGAGAGCCATCGTCAGAGTTCGGCGAAGATCTTCAGGACTTAGTCTTGAGTCACAGTATTGTAAGATAGCTGTCAGGCCTGGCTGATGATATATACTATCCTGCACCATGATCAGTAGTTCACTGATCATACGTACCTTTTTGGTTGCATAGCGTAGTGGTGCAGGGCTGCGTTCTGACAATAGCTTTGGCGTAATCATCAGTGTTCCATTGGTAAAATTATGCATCTTCATGTCTTCCATTTCCAATAAAACCATGTCTCTAGCGACAGCTAGAAAGATAGATAAGATACTTGTTTCAGCTTCAAGTCTCGTCATCAGTAGAAAATGATTCGCCAGGAGCTCCTAGCCAAGCGTCCTCCAGCGTCTGTATACATATCGTTTCAAATTCAATGCCACGCGCAACCTGACCATTGGATGCGTCAATAAACACCAGATTTTCTTCGGCGCAGGGCCAGGAATGCTCGTGTGTAGCCCCAGCCCACATCCAGAAACCATCTGCGCAGACTATATGAATCTCTTCCACACTAGCAAACTTCATGAGTTCAGTTGATTCAGTATGGTAGAAGTATTCCTCTGAATTCTCTCGTTCAAACTTGAGACGCTTGACTGCTGATGCGATCGATTCGTAATTGCAGAACCTAGAAGCCCCAATATCCACCATATCAATGTTGAGATCTAACCAGACATAGCGCTGCTCCATGTCAGGAGAGCCTACTTCCTTGGGCCCTTCTTCTGCCCGTCGCTCATGGGGCGTGAAGAACCTCTTCATGGCGATCTCAGCCTCGTTGTTGACCTTGGATTTCTTTGTTGCAGGAGCGACCTCAAAGAAAATTCGCCTGTAAAGTCCAAGGTTTCGCGCTTCCCGGCAGGACTGTAGTATGGCTGGAATTGGCGTAGACGAGACCAGCTGGCCATAGCGTTCAGTCCCCTTTCGAGCACGTCGGACGTCGACGGTGCGCGGTTCGACGGTGTCCTTCCAGATCTGCTCTCGGAGCTCCAGAGGAAGCCGCGGAAATGGATGAAAAGTGGTCATGGTGTAGGACAGCGACCGATGTAGTTGAAGAGTAGCTCTAGCCCAGTTTTGTCCTGGAGGCCTCCCCTCATAGTGATTGCGATAGTCGCTCGGAACGGCATTCCGATGAAGATGCAAAACTGCACATCGCCACAGATGCTCAGACAAGCTGCATCACTCTGTACGCACGTTGCAAGTGTGTAGTAGTGTAAACATGAACCTCGAAAATGACCATCACTATAGGGATCCGCTCAAAGGACGATGAGACCCACAAGTGTAAGCGAGCAACGAGCTTCTAGGGCAACCGCAACCGCGTCGCTCTGCCGTTGCTTTTGCCATTGCAAAACAGGGTTCCACTACGCTGCGTCATTCATGATCCTAGTAAGATGACCGCGCGGGACGTTGCACAAGGGCTCCCATGCTTGCTGCGGACCTCCTCGACGAATCGCGTCGTGCGATCTGTAATGATGTGCACCGCGTACGTCACTGATCCGTGGATATGGTAGATGCTCCATACCTCACTACTCGTCGTTCAAGTCGACATAACGGAAGCCAGATACACTAACGGCCATTTACCAACTGTCCATCTATCCTGTTTCCTTGCTGGCGCTACTAGCGCATACAACTTGTCAACACGGCGCCTCAAGTCCCCTCTCGTCGCGCTCTCGCTGGCATTGCACTTATTTCTGTGCTGTCGGCTGTTGAGAAGCAGCGTAAGAAGAAGGGAAAAGATAAAGAAGAACAGTACAATTTCGACGCGGCCGAAGATATGTCTGGTGAATTGCAGACTATACCTGCGCGCCATGGCGTCGCGACATTTGTGCCCAGAGGCAGGACAATCAAGGTTATCAATACATATGGCAAGCAAGTGGTAAGCATGTGGGCGTTTACCCTGGGCCCACCACCAGAGGAGGGAGGTGATGAAGAGGGCGAAGGAAAGGAACTGGATGATGAACAAGTCAAGAAAGAGGCAGAGCAAATGAAGAAGGCTGTGGAGGAGGAGGGTGAGAAAGGTGAAGAGGCGGTCAAAGACAAAGAAGGCGAGTCAAACGAACCGGAAGAGCCGAAGAAAGATGTAGAGAACGATTCGGAGGAGCAGAAGAAGGATGCAGGTAGCAGTGGCAAGGAAACTCAATCTACTGAAGAGGCAGTCGAAAGTCCAAAAGAAGAAGCTGCTGAAGACCCACCCGAACAAGCTCCCGATACACCCGACAACGAGAAGACAACCGAGAGCACAGCGTCATCGTCGAAGCAGCCCAATAAGCGCACTTGGGCGTCATATCTCCCTTCGATCCCATACCGCAACAAGGGCGGTGCGAACAAGCAGGAAGCAGAGCAGAAGCCTAGCCCTGAGCAAGAGAAGAAACAGAACGAGGAGAATACCAAGAAGTGGTCGTCATACCTACCGACTGGAAAGAGTTTCTCTAGTTATGTGCCGAATGTCGAAGTACCCGACAAGAACGCCGTCGTGAGCGCGTTCAAGTCGAGCCATTACCGCGATCCGAACAAGAGCTATGCGGAACAGCTCTATGACTTCTCAAAGACGCCTGTAGGCGCTGGAACCATCGCTGGTAAGTTTTTCATCTTGTGATCTATATCGTAGGAGTGGATAGTGACATTAGACAGCTGCGACAGGCTCAGGCTACGCATCCTCGGCCTACGCTGTATACTCCGCATACGCCTCGACACATCCCTCCAACTCTTCGCAACCTCCAATGGAGTACCTCTCCCTTCCCCACACGCGCGCTTCCTCGCACAAACTCGTGCCAGAAGTCGATGACGAGCTCCTGACCAACCTGCGCAACCCGATCGTCACCCTTATTGAAGACACATCGCCCGGTGGACATGACACACTGACGGCGGCGTGTGACGCGAACCAGTACGCTTCATTAGGCGTTGATAAGCCGGCAGAACATGGTAGCTGTGCCGAGAACCTCGTCCTCGCGCTTAAGGAGATCAACGAGACGGCAGGACTCAAGGGTCCAAAAGCAGTTGGCGCAGACATCTCAGTCAATATCGCGCCCACGCCTCTTCATCTTTTCATGAATGCGCCTCTACAATCCGAGGGTAGTGACCAAACCGACGGTGCGGGCACAAAGGGCGTGACGCTTAGAGTCGATGAGCCCAAAGGCAAAAAGCGATGCTTCGTCCGCTTCCGTGCCGAGCGGGATGTAGTCATTGTATTCAGTGCTTGCCCTATGGATGTAGGAAAGCAGAATGGCGGACGGTGCATGGCAGCCAACTTCATGGTCGAAGACGTACAAGAAGGCGAGGACCTCGCCTCATCTATTGCATCTGGCAAAGCGAAGAAAGCACCGAAGAAACTGAACGAGAAGGAAAAGGCGAACAAGACGAAGCAAGAACCTAAAAAAGCGGATCAAGAAGACAAGAAAGACGACTCAACAGAGACGAAGGAAGCACCAAAGAAGCCTGAGCTGAAGAAGACTGAGTCGGCGAAACAAACACCCAAAAAGGATGAAGATCCAGCAGACAAGAAACCAGCGTCTAGCCAACAAGAATCATCTGCACCACAGAAGGAAGAGAAGCCAAGCGGCTCGACGACGTCTGAAGAGCCGAAGCCGAAGAAGAAGCCTAAGAAGCTTCAGGTGCGTAGCCAAGGTGCTTCCACGCCAGCACAGTCCTCGTGAAGCTAGTTGAGATACATAATGTGTGTTACAACCCAATGGGTAGCTTGAATGTTTATGCTTAGAACATATATGATAGTCTTGGTCACTTGCAGTACAATTTTGTAGCAGAGTAATGTTTATCGTACACCTCGGTCTTGTTATGTGTATCTTTACGATGAGATTCGTGACAGTAACTTACAAAGAACGATTGACTTCAGAAGAGCATATATATGGGTACTGAACAGTCACACTTTGGAGTTGGTAAGCAAGAGAATAAATTGAGGATCTGGCACAGTCAGAGGAACGAGGGTACGCTACGTCAGAATCCCTATCCGGTCCACCCAGGCTCGCGCAACCCAATGGCCACCTTTCCTAATTCGCAATCTCTTTAAGCAAGAGTAGCCCTAGCCTCCTTCCCTTTTACATAAACCGTCTCCATCCTCTTCTGCGGTACCGCCGTGGGTGCTGCACCATCCTCCCTCTTCCCCCATGAAATATACGTTGGTGGCGCTGGCTTCGGCCACGTAATACTCTGCCAGGGGAACTCTAAGCCAATACTGTTCTGTGGCTTCGGCTCTGCTTCTGCATCTCTCTCAGCTACTGCGGGTGCAGCAGTGGGTTCAGGCGCAGGAGCAGCAACGCGCTTTTCCTTACCCCAGATGACAGTGTAGGTGGGTGGATTGAGGCCGACACTGTTTGGCTGTGTTGGCTGTGATGGCGGAGGGAAGTCATCGTCATCATCATCGTCTTCGGGAAGCTCCGGCGATGGGGTGGGTACAGCATCGTCTTCTTGGCGCTTCTTGCCCCAGATCACGGTTACAGTAGGCGGGTTAAGGCCGATGCTGTTTGCTTGGGTTGGCTGAGAAGGAGGTGGGAAGTCGTCTTCTGGGTCTTCCGGAAAAGGTTCCTCAGGGAAGGGATCTTCTGGGTCGGTGGGGTAGGGCTCTTCTCCATCTTCGGGAAGCGGTTCTTCAGGTGAAGGAGTAGGCTCGGGTTCGTCATAGTTCCAGGATACACTGAAGTTAGGCGGGCCTACTGTGATCTCGGCAGGGGGAGTAGTAGTGGAAGTATAGATAGGAGTAGGGGTCAGGGTTGAGGGAGATGAGGATGGCGAAGGACTAGGCGTTGGGGTAGGGAGAGGAATAGGGGATGGTGATGGTGTAGGCGTGGGTGTAGGAGTAGGCTTGGGCGTTGTTGTAGCTTTAGAAGAAGACTTGGAGGTTGACTTCGACGTTGACTTCGATGTGCTCTTTGATGTACTCTTCTTCGTCGTAGTCGTTGTCTTCTTAGTCGAAGTCGTTTTTGTCTTCTTGGTAGTCGTAGAAGTAGGCTTTGCTTCTCTTCTGTTCAAATCCCAACTCACGCTGAACTTAGGGGGCGATAGACTGATGAAAGCGCTCTTGGTTGTCGAAGGCACTGGTGCTGGGGAGGGAATTGGCTCCGCGGTTGACGACGGCTTTGGAGTCAAAGTTGGCTTTTCTGTTGACTTCAAGGTGGACTTTGACGTTGGTTTCGTTGGTTTCGTTGGTTTCGGTGGCCATGGGTGCCACGGTGGGTAGGGCTTCTTGGTGGACGAAACCTTGCTGGACGAAGCAGATTTGGTAGAAGAAGACACTGGAGCCTTGGAGCTGGTGGTAGGAGCTGTGCTGATGGTGCTTGAGTTGGACCGAATGGGTGGCAGTGATGTGACGGTGGGATATTCAGAGGTCGGTTCTGGTTTTGGCGTTGATGAAGCACCTGGGCCATCTCCGTCCCAAGTAACACTGTATGATGGCTTACCAATGCTAATCTGATCGCTGGGCTTAGTTGGAGGATATGCAGGCTCCTCAGGCTCTTCCGGCTCGGGAGTTGGTGCGGGACCTTCTGTCGCCCAGCTTATCCAGAAGGATGGTTTGCCAATACTGAATTGATCTGTCGGCTTGGACGGAGGTGGATAGTCGGGTTCTTCAGGAGCTGGCGTAGGCGCAGGTCCACTGGTCTCCCAGCTGATCCAACCAGATGGCGTGCCGATACTGAATTGATCCGTTGGCTTGGCTGGAGGCGGGTAGTCAGGGTTTCCGGGTGCATCTGTAGGAGCTGGTCCAGTAGTCTCCCAACTGAGCCACCCCGATGGCGTTCCAAGACTGATCTCATCGGTTGGTATGGAAGGAATAATAGGCTCTTGTGGCTCTTCGGTAGGTTCCGAGTTACCAGTATCCCAAGAGACACTCTGCTTGGGTGGTGTGACCCCTATCTGGCGATTGTGTAGACCTGCAGGCGCTGCATGAGCACTGGAAGACAGTCAGCGATAGTTTCTTATTGTAGGTATCATGACCAACCCGATAGCGAGGCCAAGAAGCGCAAGCACGCTATTCCGTGCAAAAGCCATATTCCAAGAGTAGCGTCTTACGCAAAACTAGATCGTAAGATACGAGCACACTCCAGAATTGACACATTTACTGCGACTATGCGAAGAAGTTATAGACTTTGCTCGGTTCGTCATTCCGGTCGAACTGCCCACATAGGCGACGAGTTTGTGTGTAAATGAAAGATACGAGCCTAGACAGCATCGCACCGTACGAGACATCGGTTGCACGTGTGCGATACTGCGGACGTTGCATTAGCGATGCTTGATAGTTGTGAATCCGGGCTCTAGGTCGTGCTTTCGATCTCGCAGCGCAATATATCCTGATAGCCGTCGGGTGCAGCTGTGGCATGACCTGGAAAGGCCTAAATATAGGGACACATCGTGCTCTACAAAGGGTTGATTTGGCGAAACATGGGGACGTACGGCAGAATTAAAGTGGTTCTTGTTTGGCTATATTGCTGGCTATTTGATGTGATCGTGACATGCATGGGGACAGCCGAGAAGTCCAGGGTCCTCCACGCAATGCCCTTGCATGTTCATATGAGCCGGTGCCAGCTCTGAACCTCTCGAAATCTCGACAACGTTATCTCTGTAACGTGTAGACCCGGTCTGAATGCGGACACGCTTGGCACTTTCCTGTTTGTTCGAAAAAAGTGAAGCGAGAATCACGATATTCGCATTCGGAAAGGTAAAGACTTATAGTCATTTACTCCAGGGTAATTCTCGGCCCAAGTACCCTCCAGATGGCCTATCTTTAGACAAGACGAAAGAGAATTGTAATAAGTCGTACTGATAACGTCCTTGGCGGGCAGCCTGCGAGTGTGCCCATGAACCCAGTGAAACACGCGATACTTCTTGTGCCGGCAGCCGAGGTGGTTCATGGTGGCTGATTCCCTAGGCGCTAGAAAATGACCTTGAATAGCCAGGCACCAATGTTCTCGGCCTATACAGAGTGCTTCGAACCCTCGTATGCTATGCGTTGTATACACATAGCATGCAGTGTGATGAGTTCACCCATCCGACGGAGGATCTAAGAGCTTATCCAGCGGCCATTTGCGTATTGCCCGTATGCTGAGTGGAGCGAGGTAGCCGGCTTCGAACATCTCGAGGCCAGCCCATCCTATCATTGCAGCATTGTCGGTGCAAAACTTGGGTGGCGGAAAATGTAGTTCAACATCCGGAAACCCATGGGCGCAAAGCGTCTTTGCTAATCTGATGACCGTTAGCACACTTTGTTCTTACTGGTCGACGACGCTGCATGCCTTCGTACTGATGAATCAACTTACATGTGTCGAAGAAATAAGTTGGCGGCCACACCACCAGCCATGACAACTGCGGGTGCATGTACGATGTCCTGTTGAGATTGCAGGCCTAGAACCACCCGCGAAGCGACATGTTCAAACGCAGCACGCATAGTCTCACGTGCTAGATCTTTCCGTTCTTCGATGCTGACGTCGACAGCCGCCCTCTCGACTTTGTTGAATTTTCTTGTCGCCGGATCCATGCCAAATCGAACGATGCGCTCAACCATTGTGGTAATGCCGGAAAAGCTCAACTCGAGACTGTTGATTTTGACCCCTCCACCTGCCTTGGTCAGTGGTCGGTTGAGAGCCCAGCCCCATTTGGTTGCGCTCTTCCGCATCGCGTCTTCATGGTTCACCGGCACCTCGTACCAGCTGTATTGACAGCCGAAGGTTTCTAGGTAGGTCTTGGCAGTATGCACAGATGGGGTTGAAACAGCTGTGGATGAGTCGCCAGGTGTTGGCCGTGTTCGTGGAATGTCTAGTAAAGCAAACGCTTCTAGAAGCGCTCCGTACATAGTACTCTTCGATGTCTGCATTATCTCTGCAGGCAGTACGACGCGTGCTATTTTGTCCAAACACTCCCCAATAGCAATGTCATTTGTAGAGCCTAGAACGCGATGGTCTGTCAAGGACGCCGAGTGTATGAGCAACGTATGGCCTCCAGATGCAAGAACCGATAGGAATGGGAACTTGGGAGGAAGTTCGGTCGTTGTCGGATCGTGAAGGACTGTTTCGGCGGACGGATCTTTCTGCTCGACGTGGGCTTCGAGGGCGCTGACCATGCGTGGTGTGAGGGCATGAGCTTGCATGTGATGTACTCCAACGAGAGGTTTCTAGCATGTGCATCAGTAGCAGGTCCTTGTATAGAAGCTAGTGTAGTACCTGCCATGCGACAGCGAGTCCCTTTGCAGTATCAAGGCCAGTAAAGAGATTACTGCGCATGCCCGGCCCACGAGTGACCGACACAAAGTCGGGCAACCTCCTCGCCGCAATATCTATTGCGCCCGTCTGTGTCCCATCTGCCTCTGAAGGAAGCGCTCCATCTCGCATAGGGAGAGAGCGAAGGGCTTCATTCACAAGAATAGCAAGACTCTCCTGGTGAGACAGAAGCGATACCAGTGGATGCACGCCTTGATAGATGGCATTGTCCGATGTCACCTTCTTGTGGAAATGTAGTTGGGCTGTCGGGCGACCATTTTGCGTTCCTTTTTCGATTATGGCTACTGATGTATCATCGCAAGACGTCTCGATGGCAAGTGTCATCAAGCAGCGTCGAGGCCTCCATTGCGGCGACTGAAGCGTTCGCGATCGGACGACGGCTTGGAATGTGCTGCACCGAGGTCGCATGCCTCGAAGGACGGCAGGTATATAGCTCGTTCGCGTGAAGTGGGGTGTTGAGGGCCAGACGCGTTGACGATGTGCATGCAGGTGCGCGCACAATCCTGCAGGAACGGCGGAAGGGTTCCGAGTCAGGAGTGACGTACGTCCCGAAGCTTCGAGCCTCACATGCCAACACGACCATTTGACATCACCTGAGTCTTCACCCCTAACCATCTTGACGATGCGATCAACATCCGACAACTCTCTATCCCATGGCTGACGTAGATAAAGGGACAGACGGCCCAGAGCCATACTCGTCGGCGGGCTTCGACTTCACCCTGCTACCGGACTACGACAACGACTTTGTCCAGGAAGAGCACTTTGTCGAATTCGAGAAGGCCTTGGCCGCGCCCGAAAACTCTCCCTCGACCGAAGACCTCACAGCGCCGCCGCCCGAGCGAACCTTCATCTCCGCCCTCAACGACTGGCGCCCCGTCCACCAGCGCGTCAAGCGGCGCAAGAAGAGCAAAGCGCCCCCGCGACGCGGCAAGGATGAGACGCGCGAAGGCTTCGTCTACGTACTTCTCAAGTGGCCACTACTGCTAGTGGTGTTGGGCTGGCTGCTGTTCCTGAGCATAGCCTACGTCTTCACTCGCCTGTACATCTACCTGTACGAACACTGGATAACATGGCGAGGCACACGCCAGAGACTAAGACAGCGACTGAACGACGCGAGATCGTATGAGGAGTGGATAGAGGGGGCAAAGGAGCTGGACGCATACCTGGGCAACGAATCATGGAAGGAGAAGGCTGACTACGCATACTATGACAGCAAGACCATCGCAAGAGTACATCAACAGATGGTCAAACTACGCGAGAAAGCCGAAGCAGAGGAAAGGGCTGGATCAGGATCAAACGCCTCCAAAGGCCAACACACTGCTGTTGAGGACCTCCGCGCGCTCTTGGAAGGTAGGATCCTTTGTCACACCACCACAGATGACCTCTAACGACAGATTTAGCTTCGATGAAGAACAACTTCGTAGGATTTGAAAACCCGCGATTGTACAGCGAAACTTACTACGGAACGAAAGATCTCGTTCAGAAGTTCGTCGACGAAGCCGAGACATCGCTCGCTTTCCTCTTGCGGACCAACCAGCTCGATGCAGAGAACAAGCGCGCCCTGTTCAAACACCTCGGCAGCAACTTCGGTCGCACTGCACTATGTCTGTCCGGAGGAGCGACCTTTGCATACTACCACTTTGGTGTGGCCAAAGCTCTGATGGATGCCGAACTGCTGCCAGAGGTCATCACGGGTACATCTGGAGGAGCGCTCGTGGCTGCACTGCTATGCACAAGGACCGACGAAGAGCTAAAGAAGCTGCTCGTACCAGCTCTGGCTCATCGAATTACAGCATGTCACGAAGGCATCCTCACTTGGTCAAAGAGATGGTACAAGACAGGAGCGAGATTCGACAGCGTCGACTGGGCAAAGAAATGTGCTTGGATGACCCGTGGCAGTTTGACCTTCAAGGAGGCATACCAGAGGACCGGGCGCATACTGAACGTCTCATGTGTGCCCTCAGACCCACACTCGCCCACTATCTTAGCCAACTACATCACAGCCCCAGACTGCGTCGTCTGGTCAGCAGTCCTGGCATCTGCTGCCGTTCCGGGCATACTCAATCCGGTGGTATTGATGAAGAAGAACAAGGACGGCAGTCTTTCGCCCTACTCTTTTGGACATAAGTGGAAAGACGGCAGTTTGCGAACGGACATTCCACTCAAGGCACTGAATCTCCACTTCAATGTTCGATTCTCGATCGTAAGCCAGGTTAACCCCCACATTAACATCTTCTTCTTTTCGTCCCGCGGATCGGTCGGTCGACCTGTCACTCATCGGCGAGGACGCGGCTGGAGAGGTGGCTTCTTAGGCTCGGCCACAGAGCAATACCTTAAACTTGACCTCAATAAATGGCTCAAGGTGCTTCGGCATCTCGAATTGTTGCCTCGCCCGCTCGGCCAAGACTGGAGTGAGCTTTGGCTGCAGCGCTTCAGCGGCACTATAACCATCTGGCCCAAATCCATACCTTCAGACTTTGTTTATATACTTACTGACCCCACGCCGCAACGATTAGCACGCATGATACACGTTGGTCAACAATCAGCTTTCCCCAAACTGAAATTTATTGCGAACCGCGCAAAATTAGAATACGCTATTCAAGAAGGGAGGCGAAAGTTCAGACCTCGTGGTGCACGCGATGACGATATAGTTAACGCTTTGAGCGAGGAAGACCTCCGCAGCTTGCTGAAGCGCACAAGAAGCGATGGTCCGGAGGATGGTGCTCTGTACCCAGCATCGGGATCAGAGTCCTCGTCGACAGCAGAACCATCGCGACCTGGTTCGCCCGTGAATCTTCCTCTCGGCTTCACGTTCGCTCGCAAGAAGAAGAATGCGCCGGCTGAACTGGCAGTCACAGATGACAAACTAGACGTTCCTGATAGTCCGTCACTGGGGAAACGATTGAGCGGATGGTGGTCCGCCATGTCACCTCAAGCTACAACACACTCTACAGAGCTCAAGTCTCGCCCACGCGATCCGCGATATACTCACGACCGTCCGAATTCGATGTTCGAATTCAGACCATCCGGCGACATGATAGGCATTCCCAAAGGAAGAAAGCAGAGCGAGGTTTTCGACGACTCGGACAACGCAGACGAATCTCAGGACACTTCTAGACGCAGACAGCAGCACAAGGGGGGCGCATTTGGTGACACGGATGCCGGTATGGAAGACGCTGACGACCATGGCGAGGCAGCAGATTTTGGCGATGATGAAAGAGATCAAGATGAAGTGCAGAATGTTGGAGTAGGACTTGGTCTTGAGGGACAAGCCTTGTAGTGTTTCCATTTGCCTTATACCTAGAGTAGACTGTAAACAATTTTAATGGGTAAATCTTTCAAAAAGTTGGTTTCGGACTTTGGTCTCGCGATAGGTTTCTCAGCTGCGAAAACGTTTGTTTTCTACAAAGTGTATAACCTTCTGAGCAGAAGAGTGTAGTGTCTAGTGCACGTGAGAGTCGCGTCGACGGCTAGACCCGGCGGCTTGGCATGTCGTCATCGAGGACACGCTCTGGACGCGCTATCACACGGCTGCCTATGCCAACCACAACTTGCTTGCACATGAACGGCCACAACTCATAGCCCTTGAGACCGATGGACCGCGTCTTTGGAACATCGCCATGGGTGTCACCGGTCTCTGGACTGTCTTGCAGCCCTGCGCGCGGCCGATTAAGATCGAGACGTTGAACAAGAAGCGGCTCGCCGTGGATGCCTCCATCTGGATTTACCAGTTCCTCAAAGCAGTGCGAGACAAGGAAGGGAACGCGCTACGCAACAGCCATATTGTTGGTTTCTTTCGCAGAGTATGCAAGCTCCTCTTCATCGGCATCAAGCCCGTCTTCGTCTTCGATGGTGGCGCACCGGCGCTCAAGCGACAAACTATCAGCAACCGCAAGTCGCGCCGTGAGGGAAGACGGGAAGATGCAGTGAGGACAGCGGGGAAGCTGTTGGCTATACAGATGCAGAGGGCTGCTGAGGAGGAAGACAGGAAGCGGAAAGAAGCTGCAAAGCACCCTAGGGAAGAGCCGCAGCAGCAGCAGGAGGAGGAAATACCCGATAACTTGGTCTATGCAGAGGAGCTCTTGCAGAATGATCAGGAGCGTGCGCAGAATCGCACCTTCAAGAGGAAGGATCAGTATCATTTACCAGATCTGGGCAAATCCATGTCTGAAATGGGCGCTGCAAACGATCCCAGGGTAATGTCCCTCGAGGAGTTAGAGGAATACGCACGCCAATTCGATAGGGGCGAGGACATCAATGTCTACGATTTCTCCAAGATTGACTTCGACGGCCATTTCTTCCAAAGCCTACCTCCAGCCGATCGATACAACATCTTGAACGCAGCCAGGTTGCGAAGCAGACTCAGAATGGGGCACTCGAAGGAACAGCTCGACGCCATGTTTCCCGACAGAATGGCGTTTTCCAAATTCCAGATCGATCGTGTACGCGAACGTAACGAACTTACACAACGATTGATGAATCTCAACGGTATGAACGACGATGCTTTTGGAGCAGGCGGATTCAACCGCGTCGCAGGTGAGAGGGACAGGGAATATGTACTTGTCAAAAATGATGGAGTAGAAGGCGGTTGGGCGCTCGGAGTTGTGTTGAACAAGGAAGAGGGCAAAGCACACAAGCCGATCAATGTGGATCTACCGGAGCGTCCTGCTGAAGAGGATCAAGAATGGGAGGATGACGAAGATTTCGAGGACGTTCCGATCGAAGGCCTCAACCGATTGCCCAAGCCCAAAGGAGGCCTCAGTGCGCAAGAGAAGGAAGGTCGCGAGTTTATTGCGAATGAGCTGGCGACGCGACGTAGGAAGCTCTACAAGGCAAGGAAAGAGAAACCAGCACAGTCCAAGCCGCAGAGAGCTGCTCCAGTGAACCAGGATCCTGACTCACTATTTCTTGCTGACGATAATGAAGAAGAAGATTGGGAGAACGTGCCTATGGATGGCGTGAATGATATGGGTGACGCAGGGGATGATATCGAGAACGAACAGTTGCAGCAAGCCATTGCGTTGTCGATGCAGCCAGAGAAGCAAGACGTTGCTGACGAGTCGGAAGACGATCCAGTGCGTGAAGTTTTCGAACAGAGGCGTGCTGCTGAGGCCAACCCCTTCACTGGGACGAAGGGTTCTGGAATGGCTATCGCAAGGCTGGCGAATCAACGTAGTAACAAGCTTGCGCCGAAAGGCCCTTTTGAAGGGAGCGATAGCGAGGACGATATGGACCTCCAGGCTGCATTGGCCGAGTCTCGAAAGTCGAAGCGACCTGTCAAACCAAGACAACCATCGCCTAAACAGCAAGATTCAACCCCAGCACCAGCCGTGAAACCTGCGACCAAGCCAAAGAATGCTGCCGGATTTGACGGCCCGTTGCCTTTCGAGAGGCTCAACTTGGGGAACTCCCTCCTGGGCAAGAAGAAGATGGATAAATTAGAAGCGGATAACGCAGGAGGCTTTGAAAAGGACTACGGGCAAGAAAAGAAGACTGCCGCGCCACTCCCGCCATGGTTCAGCGGCCAACGAGACATTGCAAAAGAAGTGAACGCCCAGCGGGAGGAAGAGAAGCAACAGTGGGAAGAGGCACGTCAAGAAGAAAAGTCCAGGTTTCAGTTTCAGCAGCTCCCAAGTCTTCGGAAGCCGGAAACCAAGGAAATTATCGACCTCGACGCGCCCGCTAGCCAGAGCCAGAAGCAAGTAGTTGCAATCGACTCGGATGAAGAAGCCGATGCGCAAATGGAAGATGTGCCAATTGAGGACCCTGAGTTGAGGATAGGCGATCTTGCCGACAAAATCAAAGCAGAACCTCCCAAACCGCTCTCTCCGCAGCAGAAGTCACCTCCTCGCCAGGATCCTGCCTTGACAAAGAAAACTCCATTCGCTGACGATTCCGACGATGAGCCAGTAGATTGGTCCGAAAGTGAACCTGAAGAAGAGAAGCGTGCACAACAGAAAGCGACTAATGGCGAGAAATCAGAGTCACTTGCGAAGCAACCTTCAAGGTCTCCTTCCCAAGCATCAGAGGAATTCGAGGACGTACCGATGCAGACAGAGACAAATGTTTTGCCTGAGCCTACGAAGTCGCCATCGCCAGAGTTCGAGGATGTGCCTATGCAAAGCGAATCCGTCGCAGAAGCTGTACCACCAAAGTCCCCATCTCCCGTATTCGAAGATGTCCCGATCCGTCAGCAAAGGCCACATCGACCTCAGAGGGAACTCTCTCCCTTGCAAGGCCCAGACGATTTGACAAAGCCTATTGTGCCCCACAGTGACGTAGCGGACGACAATGCGCATTTTGAAATGCCAGAAGGCAACGAGTCAGATCAATACTCAGACCCTGAGGACGAAGAGCTTTTCGCGTCCCTTGCAAAAGAGGCAGAAGAACACGCACGCTTCGCTCAGGAAGTGAGTAACAACACTGCCGCGCGTGTAAACTTTGACGATGAGCTCAAACAACTTCGCGCACAGCAGAAGAAAGACCGTCGAGATGCCGATGAAGTTACTCAGACTATGATCGCAGAGTGTCAGCATTTACTGACCCTATTCGGACTACCATACATCACAGCTCCGATGGAAGCAGAAGCTCAATGCGCCGAACTTGTGAATCTTGGTCTTGTTGACGGCATTGTAACCGACGACTCCGATACCTTCCTCTTCGGCGGTACCCGTGTTTACAAGAACATGTTCAATGCAGCCAAATTTGTCGAATGCTACCTTGCCCAAGATCTCACCAACGAATTCAGCCTCACACGCGAGAAAATGATCGCCATCGCACAATTGCTCGGCAGTGATTACACAACAGGTATCCCTGGCATTGGGCCTGTCACCGCATTAGAGATTCTTTCCGAGTTCCAAGACCTAGAGTCATTCAGAACCTGGTGGGATGGCGTTCAGAACGGAACTATCAAGAAAGAAGATGATGCTAAAAAGCCTTTCCGAAAAAGGTTCCGCAAGAACCAGGCCACGAAACTGTTCTTGCCGCCGACCTTTCCCGATCCTCGTGTTGCGGAAGCTTATCTTCATCCTGAGGTCGATAGCGATCCTGAGCCTTTCCAATGGGGTGTTCCTGATCTGGCTGCTTTGCGCACATTCTTGAGTTCCCAGATTGGATGGAGTTCTGAGAGAACGGATGAGGTGCTCGTTCCTGTCATTAGGGATATGAATCGGAGGGAGAAGGAAGGTACGCAGGCAAATATCACAAGGTTCTTTGAGGGCAACGTTGGAGCGGGAGCCTTTGCGCCGAGAGTGAGAAATACGGAGAGCGGACCAAGTGGGAAGAAGAAGGGCATGTCAGCTGCGGGAAAGAGAATGGAGGCCGCGTTGACTCGATTAGCGGGGAGGGGTGATGCGGCAGCGACTGAGGATGGAGAGACTGAAAATACGAATGCGACAGCTAGTGGATCGACGGGGAGGACGAAGAGAAAAGCTGCGAGTAAGCCCGTGTCCTTGGCCGAGCAGGAAGAGGGGGGTGCGGCCGCGGATATTGAAGAAGAAGAGGAGGACGAGCTCTACAAGGAACCTACAAAGAAAAAGCCCAGGAAGACACGGAAAGGGAAAACAGCCAGTTAATTAGAGGTACATGTAGAATCATCTGGTATCATATATATGCCTACTCTATCCTATCTTACAACAGCCAAACCACCTTCCAGTGTCCTCAAAGTTTCACGTTCCCTCCTTCAATGCTCTTCAGATCTTCCACAGTAAACCTCCTGTAAGTGCCATCCCTTAACCAATACAGCACATCTCCCTTCTCTTCCATGACCTGCGGATCAATTCCTTCCTTCTGCAGCTCAACCTTCTGTTGTTTGTTCGTTCCCGTCAACTGCATCTCTCTCGTTACTCTTATCCAAACAGGTACCGCAAACGCCGGTAACTCCTTCTTGGCATGCTGTGCCAGCTCTTGCAATAGCTTGTCATTTACCTCGCCAACGCCTTGTTCAAAAACAATGGCTGCGCACCCAGCCCGCCCATCATGTCCAGGGACACTGACACCATAGACGTTTGCCTCGGCAACCGCTGGATGCTTGCCCACGGCTTCTGAAACCTCTGCTGTAGATACGTTTTCCGCTTTCCAACGGAACGTATCGCCAATGCGATCAACGAACCAGAACCTTCCTTCGTCGTCCCATCGCATAAGGTCGCCCGAACGGAAATACGCATCCCCTTTCTCTTTAACATCCCTGATGATTTTCGAGTTTGTAGCTTTCTCGTTCCCATAGTAGCCCTGGAAACCGTCTTTTATATTTGCTGCGTCGAGCTTACCGAGGAGTTCGCCGTTTTCGTTGTAGTCACTGATTTCACACAAGCCGGTGACGGGGTCGCGAAGAGGTTCTGGGGGATCGGAATTGGGATCCATGCGTACCAGGGTAAGTTTGCGCGACATGAGAAGGTTTCCCAGCGACCCGTTTCGGGCGATTGCGCCGCTGGAAAAGGAGTTTGTGGAGCGGTTGAAGAGACCACCAGGCGCTTCTGTTGCAGCGTAGAACTCGTAGATTGTTTCTATGCCGAAACGTTGTTTGAATGGCTCCCAGACATCTGGGCGTAGGCCGTTGCCAAAGGCGGCTCGTATGCTGTGTTGCTTGTCTAATGGAGAGGGCGGTGCAGAGAGAAGGTAGCGACATGTTTCGCCAACGTAGTGCAGGATTGTAGCGTGCGAGGAGCGGATTTCAGGCCAGAATGTCTTGTGCGAGAATTTCTTAGATAATGCGATGGTGCTACCAGCGCGCAGAACAGCGCATGCACCAAGGACGGAGGCTGAGCTGTGGTATAGCGGCATGGATGTGTAGACTATGTCGTTCTTGAGGGACATCCAGTTTGCGGCGAATTTGGCGCCGCCGCCGCATTTGCCCCAGGACATTACGGCGGGTTTGGGGAGGCCTGTCGTGCCGGATGTGTAGATGAGCATGGCCATGCTGCTGCGCTTTTGGTCGGAGCGAGACGAGTCAGGAAGGCGCGTGGGTGGATGGGTGAGGATGGTTGAGGTCAGGGCATCGTCGAAGAAGATGATTTCGAGGTTTCGTTGCGCGGTCAAAGGCTCGGAGACGGCGCCTGCTTCGACAGCAGCCTGGGGGGTTTGCGCCTGGTTCTTGACCGATAGTGGAACGTCCGACTGCTCTTGTTCAAAAGTGTATTTGACCTTGTCGGCGTGCTGCACACGAGTGAGGCCATGCTCCTTGAGCGCATCTTGGCTGAACTTGTCCTTGCTCTCCTGGTCCACCAGCACCAACCGCGCCGTACTCGTCTTGATTGTGTGTACCAGCGGCTTGCCCGATAGGTTGTAGTTGATGAAAGCCGGCTTCGCACCGATGCTCCAGAGGCCAAACCAGACCCACATGAAGACCTCTGAGTTCACAAAGTCCATTGCGACAATCTCATCCTTTTCCACTCCCTTACTCTTGAGCCAGTTGCCATAGCGGAGCACCACATCGTAAGCCTGGGCATATGTCCATGTCTTTCCCTGGAATATGATCCAGGCGTGGTTTGCGCGCGAAGAGGATTTGGCATGCGCCTCGAGTTCGTAGAAGAGGTTCAGGGTGTCGCGTCGTTCTTGCAGCGCGCCGGCGATGCTGCTGCCAACGAAGGAAGAAAGTAGCGGCCAGTCGTATGTGAAGCCATGGCGACCGTTGAGGTATGCAAGACCGGCTGCTGCTGCAGGCAGGGCGAGAGGGAGAACTGGTAGTGAGACATGTTAGCGAGCTGCAGGATGCGGCGCGGTCCATGGATGACGCGAGATTACCTGACATGGCCGGCGGCCAATAGAGTTAAAGCAACCGTAAGGTAAGTGAGAGATGCTAAAATGCCACAATCTGCAGAATCTGAGAAACTAGAAGAAGAGGATACATCCTCTTACTATTAATTGACCAAACTGCCGCAGCGCTCCCTGTCCTCAGCTAGTGACGTTTGACCTCACAGGCTAGTGGCACCATGGGAGCTGTGGAGCCGAGGCACATGTTAGGGCACCCCCGTTCTTCCTCGAGTAAGCCTTCAACCTTCTCCCTCCTCCACGCCTTGTGGCTGCTTTCCCCTCATCGCCTAGAGATGGGCCACCTCTCGTGCTCCAAGGAGAAAGCCACATCCCGCGCTCGCTTCCGTTGCGAGCGACAGGGCATGTATGGCCTTGATCAACCGGGGTACACTACCACCATCCTCACACAGCAGGTGAACAACGCCGACCATCTACAACTCAATGGCTGTGCCGTCAAAGCTGGGAGCCCATGATCGCAAAACCAAGACAGCACCTTGCATCAATCATCATATAGTCTTGTGATGGACGGCCGTTTGCGGCCAGCACAACAACTATCTGCTCCAGGTAGCCTTTGTCCACTACCTCTGTACCGTGACAAAGACGCACCTTCACTGTTTTGCATTCAAATGCCCTTCGCTTTCGTAACAAGATAGTCTGCCCATTTTTCACTCGAGTCGAATTGACAATCGCCTGAAAAATAGACGTCTTGGTTTGTTTGCTACACATGCATGATTGAGCTGTCGTCTGCTAACGTGCCCAAACTAACAGCGAGCACACACTTTCTCAGATCGAGTTTGCCACTTGCAAACGCATGATGACGTTCAAGAACCAAGACCGCGGTGCCGCCGATTCTCCGGAGCTCATCAATATCGCAGATTTGGAGATTACCTCAACCAGCAAAGAGGAGCCGACACAGCGGGAGGCCAACGACCGCCGACTAGCTCAGGCGATTAGCTATCTTGTCAAGGAAGGAGGTAGTGATTCCCCTGCTACGTTCATGGACCGGGTTGATCGTATCGACAATTCTCTTCTCCTGCCACTTACTCAACAAGGACGCAATTTCGATATTAGACTGTTCAATCGCGTACTTGACATAGTCAGTGAGGCACAGCTCGATTTTGATAAAGCTGCCCAAGAAGAGTCATCAGAAGAAGATTCGCCATCAATGTCCAATAGAAAATCACCTATGCCGGAGAGTGTAGAGGAACCACGAGAATACTATACGCCGTCTGCAGCAGAAGCTCTTTACCGGAAAGGTGACGGTTTGAATGAGCCTCACTCCAAGCCTCACATGCCATTGCCTGCAACACAAGGAGCCGCAGCAGAGAGAGGAGAAGATGTGCCTAGCGAGCGCGTTTTCAAATATGGCGGTCCAGACAACGAAGTCGAAAGCTGGTACAAGGACTATCCAGCCTCGCTACCGTTTCCCGAAACCTTCCAACTGGCGCATTGGGAGAGTCTCAAAATGAACTACAATATCTCAGAATCTGGCAAACAGATGAAAGCAGAAGGCAAGATTGTTGAGACCAATGTATCTTTCGACCATCCTGCGCTTCAGCAGTACAAAACTCTCCCACCATATGAGTCTGGATCGCGCTTCAAGCTTCCAAAACCTAGCACAATCGTCGAAGAAGAGGTCAACCGGCTGGGAACACGGAAGAGCCTTGAAAAAGCCGTGCAAGATCTCAACAGGAGCAGTGACGAGGTGAACGCCGAGGGAAATTATCGATATACTCCCCGAATCTTTTTGAAGAAATTTACAGTGGGGGCTCAAGGTAAGCAATGAAATCCTTCTCAGTAACTACGAAATAACAGGGATTTAGTAGACCCAACAGCGATCCGTCATGCTGTTAACACGACACCTACAAAGGCTTGCACTGATACCATAGGTAACATTTCTCAGCGTGATTCAGCAAACACTACTCGGAAAGGACCTGCAGTTAGAACCCCAACGAAGCAGACCTCCAAGCACCCTCAAAGCTCAACAAAGCACACAAATCTGGTGCCACCTACATCGAGAGCTCAAACCACATCGCCCGTAGTAAGAAGGATTAATCGGGAGCGCGCAACATCACTTGAGCGTAGCCCGAGACGTCAGAGCGGTGTTAGTACCGTGCCTCCAAGTCCTGACTCACCAACAAAGATGATTGCCGTTCATCCACAAGTAGTCATAGAAAAGCGCGTAAGTAACCGCACACAAAACTTTGCTGCTCCTGTGTCTTCCAAGCCGCAAACCGCCCCGGACTCGATCAGCTTCGCCACCCAAAAGGGTACTACGAAGAAACTTACCAAGCGCAAACGCAGTATCAGTGAACAGGACTACACTGTTGATCACAAACGCTCGAAGCCTGTGAACTCCTCTGTACTGAGGAGCTCTGTTCGGACTAGAGCGCAAGCAACTTCAGATAGACCCGTTCCCTTCGTGGCTGAGGAGTCTGGTGAACTTGACGACTTTGGCGAAGGCGATGTCACAGAAGCTCTCAATCAAATTCCCGCCGCGGTCATTCCTGTCAAAGTCAAGACTGCCACGAAATCAAAGGTCACCAAATCTAGAGCAGGGACTAAGAAAGTGACTAAGAAAGCCACTATTGCAGGCAAAGTAGCGGGTAAAGCGCAGAGAAAGGTGGTAGTGAAGGAAATAACCGACGAAGAAAACCATACGCTCCCGGTCACTCAGAAGCAGATGAAGAAGCTTGAGACAAAGGCTGGAAGTACTAGAAGTGGGTTGAGGTATCTCAAGGAGTGAGTGATTGTAAACTCCAGAATTGAGATGACGTCTCACGACGTGCGCTATGTAGGGTATGCTGGAACACAGTCAGCCGTCGCATGACCCAACTCTCTTAGAAGTCACAAACGCATCTTTTCTGAAGTTTTCTTCAATGTTTCTGGTAGTCCCGTGTGCTGAGCAACGCCCCCGCACATGCTGTTCCGAGCGATTAGTGGGGTATCGCGCTAGGACAAAGTCAAGTCCGGCAGCGCACGAAGAAAGAACCGCATGTCGCCAGTGGTGCCCATGGAGCGCCGATGCCATGGTGAGTAGTCTCAAATACCCCAGATTATCATGCTTGGCAACCTTCTCACACGACCTAGAACGAATCCGGCGCATTCCATCCGATCGCATGCGAGTCCTGTCGCAACAAGAAGTCAAAGGTTCACACTACACCTTCAATCTGGAGAACATTGACTAAACGCTCACAGTGCGATCGTGAACTGCCAGTCTGCTCGCAATGTATATCTGCAGGAACCTCATGTCGGTATCCGCCGATCAATAAAAGGTACAAGGAGAGCGATTTGCATGAGACGAAGTTGACTGTTGTGCTAGAGGCATCCCTTCGGGATACATATCATTCATCGAACAGCGATTACTCGAAACTGAGTTCGTCGTACTGGAGCTTCTTTCCACCATCTACAGCTCCCAGGTACCGATCGAAACGCAACGCCTTTCTGATATAGATCGTCGGGTGTTAGCAGAGAGTGTACAAAAGCAGGCTAAGTCGAGCAGGGTAGAGGAATGGAAGCGTCATCCTCTCAACACGGACGAGGAGCGTCTATCTTGGTGGTCCAAAAGACAAGATATTTTGACGAAGGGTGTCGAAGCGAATGTTGGCTATATCGCTCAAGTCAGCCCAGCATCGACAGAGCCGTGGGTAACGGAATCAAGTCCAGCAGTGGCACAGTATGAGGATCTACAACAATCAGCCATTGAGCGGTTGAACGTCCCACCTGCACAGCAGCCTCAGCCAACGCGATCTGCGTGGCAGGCAGTGCCAAATATACCAGAAAACATAGAACCAGCTTCAGTCACCCAAGGCCAGATTCAGGACATGGCAGGCGTTCCGCCGGTGAGGAATTTCGGAAGCGAAGGGTACCACGATGATAGGTTGGAGAGTTCGGCACCTTCAGTACAGCACTCCACGACCCTCCACTCGCGGCCATCAACCACGGAACAGTGGCGCAAGTATTTCTGAGAGCATTTGGATGTTGGCAGCGATTCCTCTGGGTCCTTAACATAGAAAGTTGAAATTGTAGAAACAAGTGCATGTAGCAAGTCAAACATGGTTCGATGGTGCATCAGCTTCCAGCCCCCCCAGAACTGACTCGCACGACGCTAACGTCATTTGGCTCCATAGCTTGCTAAAGCGTCATCTTCGTCGCGCTTGCCGATGCCGAAGTCATACACACCCCAGCCTCTTCTGTTCTCATTTCACTTCGCGTCAGCCTCGGCAGACATCATCGCAGCTGCACTAGTCATAACACGGCTGCAGCTTATCTCCCAAGCTTGATGTGTTTGGGACTGCCGCATAGGTGATGGCCGAAGCCACCGTGAGGTCCAACAAGCGACAAGCTCATCACGATGAGTTGGAATCCAACACAGCGGCGCCCGATGTCGGTGCTGTGAGGAAACGCAGAGCGTTTCTTCAGACGATGGGTCAGCAGCTTCGGGAATTCGGAACTGAAGGAACGAGCCCTCAGGATCATAATCGCAACACGTTCGGCACCAGCCCTGGAAGTAACCTCAGACCCCCATCCAGCGCAGGTAATGTCGCAGCAAACCAGGCGTCCGTTCGGCATGTCGATACGCCAGAGAGTGATGCTGCGCCTGGAGAAGATGATCAGTTACCTGCAGGCGCAGCAAAAAGTGCGTCAAGGTGGCTCTGGAAACTGGACGAAGTACGTCCGCTTGAATTAGAGAGCGTCACGCCGACGATTGCTTTTGACGACCTTCTCGAATGGAGCCAGTCTTACTTCGACCATTGGCATCCTGCTTTTCCGTTCCTCCACGCACCCTCACTCCTCGACTATTTTCGTCAAATAGCGCAGAGAGGCGTTCGTATCGCAGCTCAATCTACATCAAACGAACTCCAACACATTATAGTACGCTCGATCATGTCAATATCTATCCATGATCGACGACAAATGAGCCCTGCAAGCAAAATGATGCCTGCAATCCTTGTCTTCCATTCAATCAACGATGCCATCCGGAGTGTACAATTGGTGCTAACTGAGGAAAGCTCTATTCGCTCACTACAAGCTCTTGTCAGCGTTCAATTGTTTCTGATTACGATGCACAGGTATAATGCTGCATCCCGTCTAGAAGGCTTGGCTATTCGTATGGCCTTCCAGCTAGGTCTACATCGTTGTCCATTGCAACTACCAATACCAAGCAAAGAAGCAGAGCTAAGGAAACGACTTTTCTGGTCTGTAATCTGCATCGATAGACACATATGCATACGGCTCGGCACTCCACTAGGGATACGGTCGGATGAGGCAAATGTCTGTTATCCGCACACGGAGCAGCACACTGAATCGGAGCCTCAAACAGATGGTATGTACGCAAGGAATGAGATTTCGAATGTGCCAAGGCTAATTCTTCTCTAGACCTCGAGCGCGATAACCGGCTAGACTTGCTGGATTTTCTCGCTCGACACGCTGATATTCGTGGGTCTATTATGCAAACGCGACACCAATCTATGTTACATGGTAGCACCGACGATATCGACCAAGCCCTTGAAGTAGAAGCCGAGCACACCAAATGGTGGAACACGGTCGATGAACACCTCTCCGATGACCAACAAACACAGACTATATCCAAAACACACCAAGTAACTCTCATTGTCCTTCGCTTTGAGTCGGTCCTCGCTCTGCATCGCTCAGTATTAGCGACATCGAAGAAGAACGCAGCATACAATGCGGCGCTACAACGATGCATTTCAGCCTCACGCTCTATAATCAACACATTGCATAAAGCTCTCCGGGGGTTTGGAGCGTCCGATGGCTCACCTGGTCAACATGGGTATGAGAGAACCCCTCTGCTCTGGCCCTCATTTACTTGGGCAGTGTGGATGAGTACGTTCATCATTCTGTCCGCGGCTGCAGAGGAACAAGTCTCGCGCGATATCGCACTGAGGCTGTCAGATCGAAGTGTGCAAATCCTTAAGCACTTATCTTCGAGGGGTACAAGTTGGCCAGATGCATGCATCGTCGCCGTCCAGAACCTTGCTGCGCGACTGGGCAAGCAATCGAATCGGGGCCCCACGAACACATCTGGAGACTGTTCGCGGACGGCAGTTCGTTCAACTCGTAACTCTTCGCTTGGGGTTGGTAATTTGCCAGCTCAGCGACAAACATCAGAAGCTCGTCTGGCAAATCATACACCAGTACGACCCAATCCAGTGACAGGCACAAACACTCCAGTGGGACAGCCGCAGAGATTGAACAACCAATCACATGCAGCATCTTCTTCTACAACCTTTACGAACACAGCGAATGAGCCGAGTTTTGCGAACGTCAACTTACACCACACGGATGTGCAAGCTGTGAATAGCCTGGGAACTGACTACCTTGCGGGCGCAGGCAACTTTCTTGGTATTGCGCAACAATATTCTGATAATCCATTACCCAACGAAGAGATCATGCATCTTTTTAATGGTGAAGACATCAATTACTGGTTTGGAAACGATTCGGGAATGGCCGGCAATTCTCTTTATTATGATCAAAATTTCCATTGAGCTACTATTGGAATATATGCAAGAAAGTCAACAACTAATTAACCTGATTTCGGCGCTGTTACCTTGCCCAAAGAGGCTGACTTGAACGCAGCATGAATCTCCTGCTCCGCGCCATCCTGTAATGGCAAGAGACCACTCCGTACTGTTGCGTGCTCTAGGATACCTCTCGCCACCAGACCGTGCTTCAGTGCAACGGTTCCCTCCATGTGCGAGCCCCGATGGTAAACGTTTCTGGTGACTGGGAGCAGTCTGTCATGAACAGCCCTCGCGCGTGGGTAGTCTCGTGCCTTGCCAGCTTCAATCATCTCCAGCAGCGGCTCAGGGGCGATGTTGCCATATCCGACAAGCATGCCGTCAACATCAAAGCACGTGTGCAGCAGGTATTCGTCGTGGCATGTGAGGATTGTCAAATCGGGGTTTTGCTTCTTGATGATAGGGATTTCGACATCCCAGCGGCGCATGTTGCGGACACCGTTCTTCATAGCGATAACACCAGGTTGCGCGGCAATCTCAAGTAATGTGTCCAAGTTGTAGGTAGCCTTGGTGTTGTCGGGGTATTGGAACAAGATGAGAGGAAGTCCAGACTTCTCGTACACGGTCTTGTATCGGTCTTGTGGAGCTCCCGGTTGGTATCCGAAGCGTAGCCAACCATGGCTGGGGTAGAGCAGACCTGCCTGTGCGCCAGCAGCCTTTGCGCGTTGGGCTTCGAGTGCAGCCACTTCAGTACCCTCGGTAGTGATACCAGCGATGATGGGTATTTTGTTGTCTACGGACTTGACGAAGGCCTTGATGACGTCTACTTGCTCTTCCTGAGTCAAGAAGGTGCCCTCGCCAGCATGTCCAAGGACCACCAGACCCTTTACGCCTGGGATACTGCCGAGCCATGAGCCAAGGCGCTGAATGGCTGCGTAGTCGACCGAGCCATCCTTGTTGAATGGGGTAACCGGCGCAGGGACGAGACCTGCTAGGTCAATTTGGGGAGCTTGCTTGATTCCAGGCATTGAACCCATTGTAATGGTGGGAAGTATTGGTGTTGAGGTAGGAAGTGAGAGTTGACTGTGGATGAGAATGGAGTGTGTTGGTTTGTGTTTGATGATGATGAGACTTGGACTGATTACCTGCACTATATGTATTTCGCTATCCATCGCACATGAATGCCGAGCGGCAACCGTTTGGCGATCTCACTCCCGTGTGTCACTTCGTGCTCCATCTCCAGCGCGCGTTCGGGACGCGGACTTGGGTAAGTCCGCAGTAGTCCTGCGAGAACTCATCCCGACATGCGATTTTGGACCAGTCTTGGTGTCGTACGAGTAGTATGGACTTGGATTGTTCCGATGTAGCGCCTATAGGACGCCCGATGGACGGGTAAGGTACCCCGGGCTTGACTTTGTCCGAACTAGTGTCCACCAGCCGCAAGCCGCTCTCCACCCTGGAGAAGCCGACGGTTCTCACGGCCAATTATTAGGGTTTTCTACTGGACTCTTCTCAAAGGTAGCGGATGATGCGAACGCCCTCGTTCTCCCCATGTTTCCTCCGCTTCGCGACAAAGAACTTGGGGTCTGGGGAAAGTCCGGGGTCAAGCTTGGTCGTGGACTTTCTGGGCAACATTCGTCCAGCTGGGGTATATAGCAAAGACTTTCCTTGCAATCTTCAATCATCTCGTCTCTCATCGAGAAATCAAGTTGAGCTTTGGCATATGACTTAGACATATAACCTGCACTTTTGACCACTGTCAAAGATGGCCAGCACCAACCCCAACCATTATGAGGATACCGAGAAAAACGTACCACTGCAAATTGACGATGTCGCAACATCGGAGAAGGATCTCAAAGCCCAATCTGCGCTCGATGGCGCAGATTATAGTGGCGCGATCGCGAAAACGGACCCAGCGGAGATTGCACTGGTACGCAAGCTTGACATGCGAGTAATGCCAGCACTCTTTTGCATGTATTTTCTGTACGTCACTAAGTCCTCCAAACTTTGTAACCTCATCTGTAAGAAGCTGCTGATCACGTCGGTGTTAGCAACAAGCTCGACCAGAATGCGATAGCGAATGCACGACTGAACGGCCTCGAAGACGACCTTGGCCTAGTCGGAAGCCAATACAACACTTGTATATCCATCCTTTACGTCGGATACCTATTCGCTCAGATTCCCAGCAACATGCTCATGTCATCTAAGAAAGTGCGACCTTCTCTGTACATGGCCGCGTGTTGTTCAGTCTGGGGCTGTGTAGCAGCTCTGACAGCTCTTGTCAGGAACTACACTGGGTTGGTCCTGGTACGCTTCTTCCTCGGTTTCGTAGAAGCGCCATTCTACCCTGGTGCTCTGTACATCCTGAGCATGTTTTATACCCGCAAAGAGATAGCTACAAGAGTTTCTATCTTGTACGCCGGGAATATCTTTGCTGTGTCTTTTGCTGGGCTCATCGCCGCTGCTACGTTTGCGACGCTGGACGACAAGCACGGAATGCATGGATGGCAATGGCTGTTCATCATTGAGGGCATCGTCACAGTGGGCGTGTCTATCGTCTGTGCTTTCTTGCTGCCGGATGAGCCGCTGACCACGAGGTGGCTGACTCCCGAGCAACGACAACTGGCGCACGATCGCATACAAAGGGATACTGTTGGCCTGGAACAAACCAGAGGTGTCAAAGCTGGTTTCATGCAAGCTCTGCGAGACCCAAGACTTTACCTGCTGGTCTTCATGCAGAATATGCATTTGAGCGCCACATCCTTCAACCAGGTATGTCACACGAAACATGTCCTCAACTCTATACAACACCTGCTAACCTTACCCAGTTTTTCCCTACCGTAGTCAAGTCTTTGGGCTTCAGTACCACTATCACGTTGGTCTTGACTGCTCCACCATCGTTAGTCGCTGGTGCAGTAGGTATCGGCATCGGAATCTCATCCGGCAAATTCAACGATAGAACATGGCACATCACAGCCATGATGGGACTGGCAGTCGTCGGATTTGCTATTAGTGCTGCCACGCTCAACACCGCCGCACGCTACATCTCCTGCTTCCTTTTTGCTTCCGGTTAGTCACTTCTCTCTTCTCCAGTTCCCATTATCTACTCCCGTCTACATACTAGCAACTAACGCACAATACTACAGGTGTTTACTCTGTCAACTCCGTCATCCTCGGATGGGTATCAGGCACACTTGGCCAGACAGCCGAGAAGAAAGCAGTGTCACTATCCATTGTGAATGTGGTCTCTATGGCTAGCTTTATCTACACGCCTTATCTGTATCCTGCGAGCGACGGGCCCAAGTATGTGATTGCTATGAGTAGCAATGCGGCATTTGCAGGTGCGTGTATTGCATCAGCCTGGGCGCTTAGAGCGTGGCTTCAGGTAACGAATCGGAGGTTGAAAAGGGATGGCGTTAATGTTTTCTACGCATATTAGTTTAACTATTGTAGTCTGTACCTACTAAGTGCAACTAAGGTCGGTGTCTTATAAGGGCATCTGCTATGAATCAGAACCATATTTACTGGTGCAAAAGCATGGGATAACTCACAAGAACGTGCCTTTGGTAAGTGTTCATGTGTAAGAGTCATGTAGATCTTCTATCATATGCGACGACCACACTGTGCAAGAATGGTACATGTATCTTATGAAACGCTCGGAATATATTATAGATATTAGGAGATGATCGCCGAATACAGCAGCAGCGAATTACAAGGGTATCGTTGAAAACCACAAAACTATCGCAGATACGACAAACATTAGCGCCACTCAACAAGCATCCTTGGAAATCTCCACTATATCTACATCCCTCTCCAACTCTTCACTCGTATGCTCCCTCCAGAGATGATCCATCAATGACTCAATTCCCCTGCACACTGTATCCGATTCCTTGAATCTCGCGCAAAGTACGCACGCAAAGCCCCCAGTGTCCCTGTGACATTTCACAATGAAGCGATTTCTGATGCGAAATGTTCGAGACGCGATCTCAACAAAACCTTGCCCTACTTTCCTACTACAGCCATCGACGACAATTTCCCAGGCTTTCCCCGGTTGGATGGTGATGTGTGTACGGCAAAAGGGACATTTACCGTTTCCGCCGGGTTTGTAAGCATTGGCGAGGTGCAGCCGTGGGCTGAGTTGGAGGTCTTTTGCGTAGATGCAGAAC